AATGTAAAAGTTGGTCTCAGACTTTGGTCTTGTTGTTTTAAATTCAATACAACTTAAGTTTTGTTATACGTCAAAGTGACTTTGGTATTTTGTTTAACAGTTATCTTTACCAGTTTTACAACAAATTAAAGTCCTGCTCTTCTGATGCACCAATCAGAAACATTTTGTTTGTTTTAGCTAGAGTAGATTTTCTTGTTACAGCAAGATATTGCATGACTGTGTACATTTTGCTTAATTTTTGCAAAGCATCTCAGCAGAAACATATTTATTGCTTATTTTCCATTTTATTTGTTACTTGCATCCACTTTTACCACATTTGACTATTACTTGCGTCAATTTTACCACATTTGTTGTTATTGGTATCAATTTTTATTACAATGGCTGTTATTGGTTTTAATTTATCCACAGTGACTGTTATTGATTTCTATCGTTATTGATTTCTATTTTACCACATGAATGTACTCGCATTTATTTCACCACAATGGCTGTTATTAGTTTCTATTTCACCACAATGCAGGTTGCCAGTTTTCCATTTTACCAAAATGACTGTTATTGGTATCTTTTAACCACATTGACTGTTATTAGTATGTTTAAAACCGCATTGACTGTTATTGGTATCTATAAAACCAAATTGACTGTTATTGGTATCTATAAAACCGCATTGACTGTTATTGGTATCAATAAAACCGCATTGACTGTTATTGGTATCTATAAAATATCACATTGACTGTTATTGGTATCTATAAAACCAAAAATTGACTGTTATTGGTATCAATAAAACCGCATTGACTGTTATTGGTATCTATAAAATATCACATTGACTGTTATTGGTATCTATAAAACCACATTGACTGTTATTGGTATCTATAAAATATCACATTGACTGTTATTGGTATCTATAAAACCACATTGACTGTTATTGGTATCTATAAAACCACATTGACTGTTATTGGTATCTATAAAACCACATTGACTGTTATTGGTATCTATAAAATATCACATTGACTGTTATTGGTATCTATAAAACCACATTGACTGTTATTGGTATCTATAAAACCACATTGACTGTTATTGGTATCTATAAAACCACATTGACTGTTATTGGTATCAATAAAACCACATTGACTGTTATTGGTATCTATAAAATATCATATTGACTGTTATTGGTATCTATAAAACCACATTGACTGTTATTGGTATCTATAAAACCACATTGACTGTTATTGGTATCTATAAAATATCACATTGACTGTTATTGGTATCTATAAAATCACATTGACTGTTATTGGTATCTATAAAATATCACATTGACTGTTATTGGTATCTATAAAACCACATTGACTGTTATTGGTATCTATAAAACCACATTGACTGTTATTGGTATCTATAAAACCACATTGACTGTTATTGGTATCTATAAAATCACATTGACTGTTATTGGTATCTATAAAATCACATTGACTGTTATTGGTATCTATAAAACCACATTGACTGTTATTGGTATCTATAAAACCACATTGACTGTTATTGGTATCTATAAAATATCATATTGACTGTTATTGGTATCAATTATGCCACATTGATTAGTAACTTCAATGACTATTATTGGCAGTCAGTTTACCACAGTGTCTGTCATTGGTATTCATTTTTATAAGGTGACTATTAATTGTATACATCTTACCACAATGGCAATTATTGGTGGTGTCCATTTTAACATAATGACAGTTAATAGCATAATTTCACCACATTGGTAGTTAATTAATAGTATTCATTTACTGCAGTGACAAATCTATTTTTTTCAGCAAAACTCATAGATACTGGTTATGTTTGCCACTTACTTGGGCATATAAATAAAACAGCCTGTCATTTGTACACTTAATCAAAAATATAAGACAGCATGCCATTTATATATCTCTTTGAATTCTTTGCATGTTTCTTTTTTAGCATGTTATGGCATTGAGAAAGGTATTCTATGTATATGTGTTAAACAATGTGGGCTTTTTGCAAATGTTTTTCTTTTTTATATTAGAAATAGGTCTGTTATTTTTAATGTGGTTGGATATAGAGTTATGTTAATATTTTGGATGTTATGCATAAAGTGTAAATATGCCAGAATGAAATGAGATTTTTTTTTAGATTTTTAAGGTATTCATTCCAAAAAGTTTACATTTACATTCAGCAAACTTCATTATCATTAAACACCATAATAACATCAAGAAAATGATTAAAAAAATCTGAATTATCAAGATGCTTATTAATATATTATTGCTTATAAAATGATATGTCAATGAGCATTTTATGAGACCCTGATTTTGTTTTAATGAAAATTCAGTCAGTGTTTTAAGTTATGAGTAATCAATAATAGAAATGATCAGTCATTGAGCTTTAATTGTTGACCAAGATCATCTTTATGATAAAAAAATCAATCTGGTTATACAAAAAAGCTTATTAAGTTATGATCAATCACTTGGAGTAATTACTTGTTGATAAATAAGTGTGGCAAGTTATCTTTGATTATTCTTGGTTTGAATACCTTAATAAATAGATTTATTTTTTGCATCTAACATTGCCTCATTTTCATGTACAGTGTTTGTCACATTTTATAAACTTGTCTTCATTTGCAGAAATTGTATTTGTCAGAATTTGCATTTGTCAGAATTTGTCTTTGTCAGAATTTTTACTATTATCTGTCAACACACCTCAAAACTAACATCTTATTGTCACAAAAACTTAAAAATATTTTTAAACATTTTACCCCAAATTAGCTATTTAATCATTCAAAACATTACTTTTGAATTAATTTTAACATGTCAGCAATCATGAAGTCTGAAACCATTTAAACAATAATATAAATTATCCTTTTTTGTTACTAAAAATTATTCACAAGTAACACAATTATGTGTTGCAAGAAAATTTAACACAATCATATGTTGCAAGAAAATTCAACACAGAAAATTCTGCACAATCATGGGTTGCAAGAAAATTCAACACAGTCATGTGTTGCAAGAAAGTTCAACACAATTATGTGTTGCAGGAAAACATTCAACACAATTATGTGTTGCAAGAAATATTCAACATGATCATGTGTTACAAGATAATTCAACACAGTTATGTGTTGAAAGAAATATTTAACACAATCATATGTTGCAAGAAAATTCAACACAGAAAATTCTGCACAATCATGGGTTGCAAGAAAATTCAACACAGTCATGTGTTGCAAGAAAGTTCAACACAATTATGTGTTGCAGGAAAACATTCAACACAATTATGTGTTGCAAGAAATATTCAACATGATCATGTGTTACAAGATAATGCAACACAGTTATGTGTTGAAAGAAATATTTAACACAATCATGTGGTACAAAAAAGGTCAACACAGTTATGTGTTGCAAGAAACCCAGCACAATCACTCTTAAATTGAATGTAATAACCAATTCATGTTTATTTTTCATGTCATTAACGATGAGATTATGCTGTAATTCCGGTGTAGAAATGTAATATTAACATGTATAGAAAAGTAATATTAATGCATAATTAACATTATATGTGTCCGTGTATTCAAAATATTAACCTTTAACCTGATGGAACTGAAATGATTAGCCTTTGCCATCAGTATAGAGCCAGGCCAGCCTGCACATCAAGTTTTATACTGCTGGATGACTTACTTCTCATTTTCATTTTGATATACTCAAAACAATGGTAGCTCAGCAAGTCCATTTAAACTATTCCACAGTTTAAGTAATACAGGTCTATCGTGGTCTATTTTTATCCATTTTTATTTTATTACCAACTTGATTATTTGCATAAGATTAAGTGATGTATTTTTAGCTTGACTATCAGAAGAAAAGGGAGGGTTATTGCACTCAACCAGACCTTGATGTCAGTGTCAGCTTCACACTTTGGTTAAATTTTTGTGTGCAAGTTGGTATCTCCAAAACTACTTAAGGGAATGGGTTTAAATTTCATGCATTTGGAAGCATAATAGGAGGTCATTTTTCCAAGACCTATAACTGTAACATGGATTTTGACAAAATTATCTCCCTTTTTGAACTTGGTTTACAATCAAGCAATGAGAAAAGTCTAGCATGCTGTTCTACCCACATCTCTTGTTTTTGCATTATATGGTCTTGACAATTTTAAAGTATTAACAGTTTTTTAAAAATTACATTTTACACATTTACATTAATCATATTGTCCCAATCAGTTTAAAGATTTTTGCAGTTAATTATTGACAAAGATTGTCTTTGTAACCATTGAAAGCTGCACTGAGGTCCAAAAGCATAAACATATGAATTTGAAATTGTTACATTTATCAATAAAATATTATTGATGCACTTAAAATAGAAAATTTGCAAAAGATAAAGAAATATACATGTAAACAGGTCTTAGTGTGATGCTCTAATTTTCAAGCATGCTGAATGATTACGTGAACAAAATTCTAACCAATAAGCATAAAAAAGTTCATATTTTCAAAGAAATAAGACAAATTTTAAAGAAAAGACCAGACTTCTTTCAAGAACCATTAGAGTTTATAATAAACTATCAGTATGTTTGTACCCAGAATGTTGATTCATTTCAGCCCCCATTCCAAAAATAAAGTTTTATATTTGCAACTGACTAAATTTTGCCAGCAATCCTGAACTTGAAAATGCCTAAGAAAAAAAAAATGATTATGGTGTTGATATTGAATTGACAGCAAACCTACCAACCTAATATTAGTTATAAAAGAAATTAGACCTGATCAATATCAGAATTCTGGCCTAATGCTCAAACATGAATAAAAATACCCCACCTCTAGACATTGTTAAACTATTATAGCTTTTGAAGAGTTGTCTCTGGTAAAATTTTATGCTCAGACTATGATTATGATCTTGTAAATGATTGAGGTTTGAATGATATTAATCTTTCGATTAAGATATATTGTCAGCTCACATTATTTGATTTTATTTGCATATTGAAAACTCCATATGTGACAACTATGATTTCGTTTTTTATTACAGGAACTGAACAAGGAGTTATTTACCCCTGATCCTCGTCAGGAAGGGGAGGTTACTGAGGACACGGTTATTGATCGGGACGAGCTTATTCCGGAAAGTATGAGAGGCACAGCGACAGCAGTTTGGAACACTGTGAAGGATCTTCACCTTGAGTTGATCTTGATGTATCATAGGGTCTGTCTGAAGCTCGAACAAATGGGGGCAGACCCTGCCACAAACATGCCCAAACCTTTCAAACGTAGAACTTGCTCCAGAATGCAGTTTGTAAGCAATTTTAAATCTAGCAATATTTGTACTTAAGATTTCAGCCACACTCCATATTGCGTTTGTAAGCATTTAAATCTAGCATTTGTTTTTTAGTCATTAAAATGATGTAAAATGTATTACAAACAAGCCTAAAAGCAGTTACATTTTACAATTTTTAATACAAAAAATGTTTTATGGTCAGGTATTTATGAGGAAAAACTCATATAAAGTTAGGTTTAAGAGGATAGAAAATTGAATTTTCAACATGATAACACTTTAGAGACCTGTGCACGCCGCCAAATCTTTGCTAATTTTTATGAAAATTTTGAAAATGTATTTAAAAGTAGAATATTGTAAAATCTAAAGATAGTTACTTAGTAATTAATTGCAAATGGTATTTAAAATCCATGTTAATTAACAAAAGGAGGTCAAAATATGCAAAAATGACCCTTACTGCATTCATCACACAGTAAAAATATGGTGATAATTAATACTGCACAATCAGTCATATATCATGTACATTATTGCTTCAATCTTGATTTTTTTTTTTAATGTACATTTTCTCGGGTATGATTTTCTTGAAATATTTTTGTTCATCTTGAAGCATGCATCTTTAAGGGAAAGAAGAACAGTGAATCAAACCTTATTTTTTGTCTTTTCTGAGCGAACTCTCATGATTCAACAACTAGGTACATCAGAGGACATTAGTAGTATGTACATGATCTCAAAACATAAATATTACAATATACATGTATCACTGTAACAAACATCGCAAAACACGTAAATAAAAGGGCGAGCAGCTACCAACTAGATAAGCGATCTTAAGTTTGCGTCCATATTGAAAGCCAATCGATCATTAAGGGTAGTGATTAAATCATATATTGATGCCTTTATTATGAATATTTTAATTAATATACATGTATATAAATCTTCATGACATTTTGAGACCATGCAGATTCAAGGTAATGTCACTTGGCTTATATTTCCCTTATTTACACATTTTTTACAGAACAAAAAATACTTTTCTCAAAGATCAACGTTGCAAAATGGCAGCGCATGTGCCTGATTGGATGAAAAGATTATACGTCACTTATCTCAGGTTGTTTATACAGTTATATTATGTCCTAGCAAACATGTTATTTTATAAATATATAATAATTTTTTTCTTTAATAGGGAAGTGATCGATCGCTGATGGATACTTACGTTGAAACTATGGATGAGCTTTTAGGAAGAGCTAACAAAAACAACATATCTAAAGCTTTACTGTACATGCAAAAAGCTTACCTGAGCTCAAATGATGGAAGGGCTACAAAAGAACAGAAAAAGTTACTTGAGGTAAGTTTGGTTACCAGTTTCCTATAACAATGTGTGATAATTGTGTTTTACATATTTGTTTATTTATAGTCGCCACATTAAAATCTGAATAAATGACTCACTAAAGAAAACTGTTGGTATTCTTTTTTTTTAGCCAACAAATACAGAATTTACTCCATTTCAGGACAAACAAATGGTTCTTTTATGTAAGTAAGTAAGTAAGTAAGTAAGTAAGTAACAACTTTATTTAATGAGGCTAACACATTTGGTTTCCCGATCTTCCATGCGGGCCTCAGCATATACATAGCATATACATAACAATATATACATTACACATTTTAAATAACATATATACACAAATAGAAAAAAAAAACAACAAAAAACAAACAAACAAGAAAAACAACAAAAAAACAAACAAACATCAAGAAACCACATTTTCATAACCTGGGCATGAAAAATACATTATTTTACAAGTAAGATTAAAATGTGAAAGGTGAAAAGCACTCTTACACAGGATCTAGATTTCTAAAGTCTAATCAGTAATTTTAGTTTAAGAAATGGAGTAACGAGACACATACATTTTGTAACTCCTGGATTTGTAGTTAGGAACTGTTACCATTGGACAAATGATCCTCTTGGTCTAAGGTCAGTTATATAACACCATTGAACTTGACCTTAGAAACCATTTAAAAAGTCTCAAAATTGATTGGTTGATTTTGTGAAAATATTGTCTCATGATTCTATGGATTTTATTTTGTGCATTATTTTGTATATACCATAAAAAAAAATAATCTAATCATTATCTAAATTTATTTCACAGAATGCAGTCACATGTATTCAAAAAGCTCAGATTGAGGAAAAGAAAACTTACCTAGAGAACACTGGAATAAATGAGGATATAATGGCTGAGGGACGTGTTCCTCCCCCTCCGATACTCCTCTCAAGGACAGATAATTCCATGGTTTTTAAACCATCTCCATGGAAACCCTGCACTGAGGAGAAGGTAACAACACTGATGTTTTATGCAAATTTAAATATTGAAAAGTTCAACAGGTGTGCACCTAGCTTTTGATAGAATTGACCAAATGGTGACATACTTTTTTTTTTTTTTATTAAAGCCTAATTATTGCTGATTTTATTTACATTGACCTCAGTACTTCTTTAAAAAGTTAAGACACAGTCTAATGCAAAGCTGACATTCTATTTAGTGATAAAATGTAAGTGGTGACCTAGATGATGTAAATTATATTCTAAAGGACAAGATGGTATTTTTAGAATATGAACAACAGCTTGCGCCTTCTTCCTAACTTAACATATTGTTAAAGTTATTTTTTTTGTCTATACCAGATTGCATGGTACAGAATATTTGCCAGGAACGCCACAGGGAGCAATGTAAAGGCCAGACTCAACGACTACTACTTTCCAGGGACAGGTGAACAAGTTCCATACCATCACTCAGAGCTGAGAGTTTCTGGACTCAAAGCTAATGAAAGATACGTTTTTGCTGTGGCTGCGTACACTGTGGATGGTAAACTTATTGGAGACAGTCTGGGAGAGAGTACGAGACCCATTCTTGCTATTCATCCACTTCCTGTTCTCACAACATGGGCATTCCTGAGTCAGATCTCTTACCAGATTGGCTGCTATGAGATTTCAAGACGAGCTTGTGACGTCCTCTGGGATCATTTTATTGCTGAAGCTCCGCCTCCAGAAGGAAGGACTTATACCTCTTCCAATGAGAGAGACTTCAAACTGACTTTGATGAGGTACACTAGCAATATACATGTATATCAATTAATAAATTATAATCATATTGAAGGGATAGTCTTTAACTTTAATTAGACCTGCCCATTTTCATTTTTGTCGAAATTTGAAAAATCTTCATGTCTTGAGATTTCAGTTGTAAAATGCATTATCTGACCTACATTTACAAACAAATATTATTGATATATGGTACAAAAATAATTGTTGCTGCGGACCATTATCTTTTTATCTCGCGTGAGAAAACTACATACCTAAAAATATACAACTTCTCTTTTTCTAAGTAATGGTCAAAACCAGAGATTTTTTGCTTGAAGAAATCATACCTGTGCTTATACACATGTATATATTGTAATTCTATGTATATTTCAGACTAAATCAGAAGATTGTGTGTCTTTCCTCACCTGTCAATTTACGTCTGTTCCTCACCAGTATATTTATCAGTGTAGATATCAATGTTAGAGAGGGAAAGCTCTTCTGTGACTCCCTCAATGATAAAGGACCTCTGTATAGTGGACAGGTAAATATTCAGACAGATTTTAAAATACATGTATGATGAATATATATAAACATGTACATACAAATTATGATGCTACAGTACCTTTTAATCTTATACAGGGCTCACACTGGCTCAAATAAAATAATAGCCAATAATTTCAACTTAAAAAAATAATAGCCAAAAGTTCAGCGGACTATTTACGAATTAGCGATTAACAACATAAGCAGTTGATTAAATAAACATTACATATAAATTTTTTTTTAGATTTATAAGGATTCTAAAATAAACTGATACATTTGTGTATATTGATAACTACCTTTTTTTTAAATAGAATCACAACTTTAATTGTTATTATAGAACAGAATAAAAACGTTATAATTAGTATAATTACTGTATAACAATAATATTAAAGATTCATTATAACTTTACATAATGCTGTTATCAGACAACTTTTTTTAGCTCACCTGTCACAAAGTGACAGGGTGAGCTTTTGTGATCGCTTTTCGTCCGGCGTCCGGCGTCCGTCGTCCGTCCGTCGTCCGTCGTCCGTAAACTTTTACTTTAAATGACATCTCCTCATAAACCACAAGGCCAATTTCATCCAAACTTCACAGGAATGTTCCTTTGGTGGTCACCTTTAAAAATTGTTCAAAGAATTTAATTCCATGCAGAACTCTGGTTGCCATGGCAACCGAAAGAAAAAACTTTAAATATCTTCTTTAAAAAAACCATAAAAGCTAGAGCTTAGATATTTGGCATGGAACATCTTCTAGTGAGTGTCTACCAAGTTTGTTCAAATAAAAGCCCTGGGGTCAAAATTGGCCCCGCCCCGGGGGGTCATTGATTTTCCCTATATGCATATAGTAAAAACTTAAAAAATCTTCTTTTAAAGAACTCAAAGAGCTATGGCTAAGATATTGAGCATCAAACATGTTCTAATAGGTGTCTACCAAGTTTGTTCAAATAAAAGCCCTGGGGTCAAAATTGGCCCCGTCCCAGGGGGTCATTGATTTTCCCTATATGCATATAGTAAAAACTTAAAAAAATCTTCTTTTAAAGAACCAAAAGAGTTAGAGCTAAGATATTAGCATTAAACATGTTCTAATAAGTGTCTACCAAGTTTGTTCAAATAAAAGCCCTTGGGTCAAAATTGATCCCGCCCCGGGGGGGTCATTGATTTTCCCTATATATGCATATAGTAAAAACTTAAAAAATCTTCTTTTAAAGAACTCAAAGAGCTATGGTTAAGATATTTAGCATCAAACATGTTCTAATAAGTGTCTACCAAGTTTGTTCAAATAAAAGCCCTGGGGTCAAAATTGGCCCCGCCCGGGGGTCATTGATTTTCCTTATATGTGTATAGCAAAAACTTAAAAATTTTTTTTTGAAAAAACCCAAATAGCTAGAGTTAAGATATTAAGCATGAAACATCTTTTAGTGAGTGTCTACAAAGTTTGTTCAAATAAAAGACCTGGGGTCAAAATTGACCCCGCCCCGGGGTCATTGATTTTCCTTATATGTGTATAGCAAAAACTTAAAATCTTCTTTGAAAAAACCCAAATAGCTAGAGTTAAGATATTAAGCATGAGACAATATTCTAGTAAGTGTCTATAAAGTTTGTTCAAATAAAAACCCTGGGGTCATAACTGGCCCAGCCCCAGGGGTGTCATTGTTTTTAACTATATGTGTATAGTAAAAACTTAAAAAAAAAATCTTCTTTTAAATAGCCCAATGAGCTAGAGCTTAGATGTTAAGCATGAAACATCTTCTTATGGGTGTCTACCAAGTTTGTGCAAATAAAAGCCCTTTGGTTAAATTGGCCCTGCAACGTTTGGGGGGGGGGGGGGGGGGTTTGGGGGGCCTATATACAGGTGAGCGACCTCAGGGCCATCATGGCCCTCTTGTTGTTTGTTCTAATCAAATTTTGGCAGCTATAACCACTGTCAATTTCCACATTTCACACAGAACTGGAGTAGATCTAGGTCATATTAGCCTATAGAAATAACACAAGTTTGCAAACTCATTCACAGAATTCAGCCTTTTTTCTGAATAACTTACTGAAAAATATCATCATCACCAATGTAATACAAATTTTCTGCCATAGTAGTAAGGATTTTTAAACAGAACAAAGCTTATTTCACCTTTTAAATAAATATCAAAATTATCGGTGTCGCGAAAATATGTGACAATCGGATTTTTCCTGTTTTCTGAAGAAATATTCACAATTTTGGTTGTTGTGCAAATAGTTGTTTGAAAGTTAATAGTTTTTAAATATTTTACTATTGTTTTCCACTGGCGATTTAGTCAAGTAGCTTAGAACAATAAAATCAAAATTTGCAATTACTGCAATTCACGGTAAATTTTGGGAAAGTCAATATCCAGTTTATCAATTTTAAAACGATTTTTGTGGCTAATTGACGGATATTTGATGGCTATTATAAATGCTGGACAATATCTTTAAAGTACTTATACAATTATACATCTTGCATGTATTTTTTCACCTCGGGCAATATAGTTAGCAACACGTGACCGGTAAAAAGTTGACACTCAATTAAATGCACCCGCTGGTGTTAATTGGGTCTACTGCATTCATTATCGATTTTTACACCTTATATAAACACTGTTGGAAGTAAAAAATAATCGCCAGATTTTGTAGCCAAAATGCAAAAATAATCGCCAATCTTATAAAATAATCGCAAATGGCGACTATGGCGACCGACAGCGTGAGCCCTGTTATACCTGCTGAATTTGCTGGATTTGCACAGCTTTGAATTTGGAACAGTCCAATCAAAAGTTTAAGAGATGGTCAGACTGCATGGATGTGCAGACATGTCTAGCTCTATATTTGTGGATAAGCACTTCCTGTTTTAGGTTTAGTGTTAATTGAGTCATTATTATGTAGTGTAGATGTTCTTTTCATTTCTGTGACATTTTACTGGCTATGTTTGATGATCAGAAAATTGCTTATTAATCGAGGGGTTTTCTGTGGTCGGGTGTTTAAGGTTTTTCTTCAAACCACTAACCCCTCACTGCTGATGGTTTGAAATCCTACCAGTGACTTCCTTTCTTTCATGTGAAGAAGTTGTCCAGCTAGCTTACAGAATGTTGGTGTTTCTACTTGGGCGTCTGTTTAGTCTGAAATGATTTACAGAAGGGCACCTGAGGTCTTCCACAACCAGTTAATCTGGAAAGAAACCATGTGACCTTTACTGTGTTGGTGCAATTTAAAAACCAACTACAAAAAAGAAAAATTTCTGATAAGAGTGTAAAAGATTGTACATTTGTTTTTCAAACAATTAAATTGTTTTTTGTTTGGTAATTTTCAGATCAAGAGGTTGAAGGAATGTGAGAAGATGTTGGTAGCTATAGAGCTTGCCGGCTGGCTCAATGAGTCAAACCTAGCTCTACAGGCTGTTGTACAATGCTACGGTCTAGTAGCCCCTCTTATATTCTACAAAATACCTTCTATTCCAGTATTCCAGGTATTTTTATACCCCCAAAAACGAAGTTTGGGGGGGTATATAGGAGTCACCCGGTGGTCGGTCGGTCGGTTGGTCGGGCGGGCGGTCGGTTGGTCGGTCGGTCGGTCCAGACGTCCGTTGCATTTTCCTTGTCCGGAGCATAATTTGAAGACTAATGGTTGGAATTCAATATAACTACATACAATGGTCAAGCACATTGAGAGGAAGTGCAGTGCACAAGAACCATAACTCTATCTAGACTAATTACAGAGTTATTGCCCTTTGTTACTTTTCCTTGTCCGGGGCATAACTTGAAAACTACTGGTTGGAATTCAAACCAACTTCATACAATTGTCAAACACAATAAGGGGAAGTGCAGTGCACAAGAACCATAACTCTATCTAAAGTAATTACAGAGTTATTGCCCTTAGTTGCTTTTCCATTGCTTTTTTTTGTCCGGACCATAACTTGAAGACTAATGGTTGGAATTCAATATAACTACATACAATGGTCAAGCACATTGAGAGGAAGTGCAGTGCACAAGAACCATAACTCTATCTAGACTAATTACAGAGTTATTGCCCTTTGTTACTTTTCCTTGTCCGGGGCATAACTTGAAAACTACTGGTTGGAATTCAAACCAACTTTATACAATTGTCAAACACAATAAGGGGAAGTGCAGTGCACAAGAACCATAACTCTATCTAAAGTAATTACAGAGTTATTGCCCTTAGTTGCTTTTCCATTGCTTTTTTGTCCGGACCATAACTTGAAGACTAATTGTTTGAATTCAATATAACTACATGTACATACAATGGTCAAGCACATTGAGAGGAAGTGCAGTGCACAAGAACCATAACTCTATCTTGACTAATTACAGAGTTATTGCCCTTTGTTACTTTTCCTTGTCCGGGGCATAACTTGAAAACTACTGGTTGGAATTCAAAACAACTTCATACAATTGTCAAACACAATAAGGGGAAGTGCAGTGCACAAGAACCATAACTCTATCTAAAGTAATTACAGAGTTATTGCCCTTTGTTGCTTTTCCATTGCTTTTTTTTTTGTCCGGACCATAACTTGAAGACTAATAGTTTGAATTCAATATAACTACATACAATGGTCAAGCACATTGAGAGAAAGTGCAGTGCGTAAGAACCATAACTCTATCTTGACTAATTACAGAGTTATTGCCCTTTGTTACTTTCCTTGTCCGGGGCATAACTTGAAAACAACTGGTTGGAATCAAAACAATTTCATTACAATTGTCAAACACAATAAGGGAAGTGCAGTGCAAAGAACCATAACTCTATCTAAAGTAATTACAGAGTTATTGCCCTTTGTTACTTTCCATTGATTTTTTTTTCCGGACCATAACTTGAAGACTAATGGTTGGAATTCAATAAAACTGCATACAATGGTCAAGCACATTGAGAGGAAGTGCAGTGCACAAGAACCATAACTCTATCTAAAGTAATTACAGAGTTATTGCCCTTTGTTGCTTTTCCATTGCCTTTTTTGTCCGGACCATAACTTGAAGATTAATGGTTGGAATTCAATATAACTTCATACAATGGTCAAGCACATTGAGAGAAAGTGCAGTGCACAAGAACCATAACTCCATCTTGACTAATTACAGAGTTATTGCCCTTTGTTACTTTCCTTGTCCAGAGCATAACTTGAAAACTACTGTTTGGAATTCAATTACAACTTCATACAGTTGTCAAGGACATTAAAAGAAAGTGCAGTGCACAAGAGCCATAACTCCATTTGACAAAATACCAGAGTTACTGCCCTTTGATACTTTTCCTTGTCAGGAGCATAACTTAAAACGTACTGGTTGGAATTCAAAACAACTTCATACAATGGTCAAGCACAATTAGATGAAGTGCAGTGCACAAGAACTATAACTCTATTTTCAGTATTTATAGAGTTATTGCCCTTTGTTCCTTTTCTTTGTCTTTCTGGACTTATTACAGAGTAATTCAATTAAACTTCATCAATGGCCAACCACATTGAAAGGAAATGCAACATATAAGAACCACAACTATCTTTAATTGCCCACAACCATAACTCTATATTTCAATTCTTTTACAAGGTATTCTGTTACTAGTAACATCCTCATTTCCGAAGCAGTCTTGTGGGGGTATTAATCACATTTAGTGATAGTTCTAGTTTTACTTAATTATTTATTCAACATACTGCTTTGGATGTAACCTGAAATAATAAATGCATGAAGGGGAACAAGGGTTCTTCCACCATTAGTAAAAACAAGAAGGTTGTCATATGACCATAACAGTGACCGTGATGATTTAAATTCAGATTTAAAAAAATAATAATGATTTCCAGTTTCTTCTATGAACAGCCTAACTTCTCTCTATTTTCCCCTTCTTTTAACAGTATATTTAGGAAATAAATATCAATTTTGAGTGCATTGTTGTAGAAAAATGCATGGTTCAAGTTCAAATGAGCAAAAAATATATTCACAAAGGCTTAAATGCCTGAGTGATAAATTACAAAGCATTTGAACAATAAATAATGCATTATTAGACTACATTGCAAGAACATTTGATATCTCCTTCCATTCTAACATCTAATAATAAAGAGAATCACAAATAATAAAACTGCAAGTTTGCAACGTTGCTTTTCATTGGATAATTGTGACGTTTATATAGTTTTATATACAAGGCTGCTGTCAATTTATGAAAATCTCACTTTGTTCTATAAAAAAAAAAATGCTTGCTGTATTATAAATTCGTTAAAACAATTCTGACAAGTATATTAATGGTTGCTTGCAATATAACCTTTGCCTAGCGGCTTGGGTTATGTTTCTAAACAACCCTTTATATAGGGCTATATAACTTGTCAATTTTTTTTTTAAATAATGATGTATTTTGAACTTCAATCAACATAGAAATCACTAACTGTTGACATTCAATATTGTTTCAGGTGCTTCAGAGATGTCATGCCGTGTTACAAGAGATACCTGCAGGATTACGACAGAAACGTCCCACCTCCATCGCCGACAGTCTTCATCATATGACTGCTTGTATCACCTTCCACATGGCTAAAGTACGTCTTGTATCTTTATATCGTGTACATGATACACATTTTTTTATGGGTGACTCCTCTAGTGGTGTGCTAGTAATTTAATGACCAAGTTCAGATGGTAGTGGTTACTCATATAAGAAGTTCCATCTGATTCTTGTATGTGTGTGCAAGTACTAAACATTTACAAGTGTGCAAGTACTAAATGCGTACTTTGCACATCCACAGTTAAAAATTTTGTCTCAAAGAATATAAGTGCATGTACTTTTAATTTGAGAGGAAATCAAACTGTTTATGCCTGAATGTATATTCTAATAGCCTCAACCTAAAGCTTGGTCTTAAAAAATGTTATAACTTGTTATATATTCCATTCTTGATTATATCTCTTAAAATGCTTCAGAATACGCTGGCTTTTCCTAATATTTTACTTTAAGAGTTTTATATTAAAATCATCAGTAAAAAATTTATTATTGCACACATGTTCTTTCAGGTATTGAGAAACTGGGGTCAGAAGTCACTGGCTAACAATCTAAATGAAGCCGGCCGCAAGCTTCTGGCTGTTGAAAGTGGGGAACCAACCAAGGATCAGTTAGAGAAGGGAACCACACTAGATACAAGTGCTGACAATGAAGAAACTGCTGGTTCCATTAATCTACAGGTAACCTCTTGATGTGTTACATCTGTCTTTATGTTTATTCAGTTTTTAAGCCAAAGACAAGATGCTGAGTTGAAAATGTTTAGAATTAGGCTAAAAAAAAACATTAACAATAATTTAGTGTTGAAGTATTGATGGTGTAAAGAATGCTTAGTTAAGCTGAAGGGGCTTCCATGGTCAAGTTGTGGTTAGAGTCACTGACTTTGAATCACTTGCCTAATCACCACTGTAAACGTCGGATGACGGTTCGGAAAAAGCGGATGGATTTGAAAGTTTTTTTACGTAATAATCTGGCGTCAGGTAGACGTCAGAATCTTACCATTATCTAACCATTTTCCGACCAAAATCTGACCATTATCTAACCATTTTCTGACCTCAATCTGACCATTTTCCAACCTAAATCTTAACCATTTTCTGCCCTAAATCTGACCATTTTCTGACCATAATCTGATCATTTCCCTAATCCTTCTTGTTTTACCATGTTATAAATATTTTCTGGCCAATCCTGATTTGATCAAATTAGTAACTTTCACTCCAATGAAATGTATAACAAAAAACTAAAAGGAAAAATGTGTTTTTATGTTTTTTTATTTAAAATAAAAGTTGCAATTTAAAGCTGATACATAGTTTTAGTAAATTCTGCAAGGCTAAATACTTTTCATAATTAAACAAAATTAAACATAAAATAAGTTAATAACAAAACAAAAAGTATTACAAAAACAATGACATAAATGAAACTAAGAAAACATATACAAATATTAAAGAACAAAACAATGTATGTATATTTCTATCAAAGTTTGCCTTATCAAACAAAATAATGAAAATATTATAATTTTAAGAAAAGTTAAAAGATTCGGATAATGTTTCAAGCAATTAATGTCAATTTTTCAGTATTTTAACTATATTTCTACAGCATTACTATTTAACATTTAGTGCTATTTTGCATATTTTGACCTCCTTTTGATAACTGTCACTAATGTATAAATTACTTCCTTTTAGTTACTTCACAAAGTTATACTTTTAAATATCCATGAGAATTAGCACGAATTTGGAGGTGTTATGCTTTTAGATATATGACTTTCTCTCACCACCCCTCGTCTGTCTAGAGGATATGTTAGTGTCCAGTGGCGTTTGTGATATCATTTTCACTGAAAAAAAAATGAAATTTATGAAAAATGGAAAAATAACAAGCAAAAATGTTTTTCATAGTTATCTGCCCTTTAGAAATTTTGAAAGTTATCTTAACTTAATGAACAACTTTGCTAGCTTTTTAGAAGTGAGCTTTAACAAAAATTAAAAGTAAACATAAATACTGAAAATTTAAAAGGCCGCTTTAAAATTCCAGTTTAGTATGGATTATAGTATGTAATAGTATTTACAAAAATCTTACTTTCCCATGTTTCTTTTTAACCAGGTTTTCAACGAAAACCGGGTTATTGTAATGCCGAAGTCGGCGGGCGGGCGGGCGTCAACTTTTGGTTTCCGCTCAATAACTTTAGTTTGCTTTGGCCTATTGACACCAAACTTGGTGTGTAGGTAGCTTATATCAAGAAGCAGCTTGGGATTGCTATCCAGGTGTCTGTGATCAAGGTCAAGGTCACTGTTACTAAAAATAGAAATTCAGTTTCCGCTCAATAACTTGAGTTTGCTTTGGCCTATTCACACCAAACTTGGTGTATGGATAGCTTATATCAAGAGGCAGCTTGGGATTGCTACCCAGGTGTCTGTGATCAAGGTCAAGGTCACTGTTACTAAAAATAGAAATTCAGTTTCCGCTCAATAACTTGAGTTTGCTTTGGACTATTGACACCAAACTTGGTGTATGGATAGCTTATATCAAGAGGCAGCTTGGGATTGCTACCCAGGTGTCTGTGATCTAGGTCAAGGTCACTGTTACTAAAAAATAGAAATTCAGTTTCCGCTCAATAACTTGAGTTTGCTTTGGCCTATTGACACCAAACTTGGTGTATGGATAGCTTATATCAAGAAGCAGCTTGGGATTGCTACCCAGGTGTCTGTGATCTAGGTCAAGGTCACTGTTACTAAAAATAGAAATTCAGTTTCCGCTCAATAACTTGAGTTTGCTTTGGCGTATTGACTCCAAACTTGGTGTATGGATAGCTTATATCAAGAGGCAGCTTGGGATTGCTACCCAGGTGTCTGTGATCTAGGTCAAGGTCACTGTTACTAAAAATAGAAATTCAGTTTCCGCTCAATAACTTGAGTTTGCTTTGGCCTTTTGACACCAAACTTGGTGTATAGATAGCTTATATCAAGAAGCAGCTTGGGATTGCTACCCAGGTGTCTATGGATCAAGGTCAAGGTCACTGTTACTAAAATAGAAATTCAGTTTCCGCTCAATAACTTGAGTTTGCTTTGGCGTATTGACTCCAAACTTGGTGTATGGATAGCTTATATCAAGAGGCAGCTTGGATTGCTACCCAGGTGTCTGTGATGTAGGTCAAGGTCACTGTTACTAAAAATAGAAATTCAGTTTCTGCTCAATAACTTGAGTTTGCTTTGGCCTATTGACGCCACACTTGATAAATGGGTAGCTTATATCAAGAGGCAGCTTGGGATTGCTACCCAGGTGTCTGTGATCAAGGTTAATGCATTTAGTTTTCATGTTATAACTTGAGTTTGCTTTGACCTTTTGTCACCGAACTTGGTGAGTGGCAGCTTTGGATTGCCACTTAGATATCTGGGAGCAAGGTCAAGGTTATTTGCTTACAATAGAATATTCAGTATCTACTCAATAACTTCAGTGCACTTTGACCTTTTGATTGCTGTCACATCAAAACTTGGTCGTTGAAAACCTGGTTTTCGTCGCATTGCGGCGCTTCTTGTTACATTACTTTTGTCCCTTCGACCTTTGAGACATGCTGTCCAACACTTTAACTACCGGAAAAGAAAATTATATTCTAACTTATGTATATTCTACATTTGAAATAGAACAGTTACGTAAGTCTTAAATTTTTCATAGTTTCAAATTAAAGATTGTTAAGAAATTGTTGATAATAAATGTATGTTTATGTACTACGTTTTGTTAAAAAGTTTATGTTCTGTTTTGATTGTTTTGATAATATTTTTTCGACTAATGATTAAATGAAGTGTCATTCTATATTACAAAATCATAATTAGATAATTAATCGATTCGCTCTTTAATTTATTTCCCGTTCATTTATTAGAATGATATTAAAATCTGGTAAAAAAAAAAATTAAGGTAAGTTTTATTCTGATCAAAAATTGGGCCGAAAATGCATGTCTGGGACCAAAACGTCTTGGGTTATTTGGGACCGAAACGTCTTGGTACGAAATGCTCGAAATCTTACAAATTCATTCTCAATTCTCAGATTTTAAGTGACAAAAACATTACAGTTTAAAAAGAACATGAAAACTAAGCATTCTCTTTGGTATTACTGTAAGGCACATTATAAACTCTTCACGAGCAGAGTTAAAACATGCAAAATTTGAAATTATTTATTATCAGACATTATCGCGAAATTGTGTGACATTTTGCTTCAACTGTTCAAATAATGACAATTAAATTTAAGAATGCTTGCAATCATGCAATTATTTATCAAATACAAAGTAGAAATAAATTTAAATGAATTGAACTGACCTTTTTGTTAAACAAAATCTAAAATATTCACTTTATCAATGCATCCCGATTCCTGACAGACCGCCAAAACGTACGAAATGCCTACGAATTTAAATTTTCCATCCACGTGGGTGTAGATTCAAATTGTAATTATGTTTTCTTTCCTTTTTCTGTCACTATGATTAAATGTAAAAGAACTATTAAAAACTTGTGATTTTCATACAAATAATGTACCACAAATGATAATATTATAACGTTAAATGATTGGAACTTGTAAACAGATCTGTGGCTATAAATAGATTTCATAACAATAACACATGTAACTTGTCTATATACAGCGCCACTTATATGTTTTATTTGGTTGCATCGCCGCTCACTTGGTCTTCGAAAGGAACTTGAATATATACACTTAATATGTAAGCCAAATAACATTTGAAAAAAAGTTTAAATGATTACAACAGCGAATAAGGATTATTATATGTTAATTCTTTACCTACCGTCAGGACACCAACCAGAACCTGACGTTAGTACGACGTCAAAAAGAAACGTCTAATAGACCTCGGTTTTTGGACGTCAGATTGACATCATATTTTGGTCGCCGACGTTGTGACCGAAATCTAACGTTTATCCGACGTTTATTTAACGTCATGTATTTGCTGGGGTTGTTGTTCATTTTAAGTTTTAATGGATAATTTTATATGATTATTAGAAACACTGTAGAAGTAGACTTTGTCTGAATTTTTGTTTCAGGCAATGAAGAATAAGTCTAGAAGAGGGAAGAGGGGAACAATGAGCATGATGAAAGACCATGAGGCTGATGGGCCTCTAAACGAGGAACTCAAAGCCCTCGAGGCTCATATGCTTAGCATTTCAAAACAAGGTATCAGCTTACAATTCTATTAATGTATTAGGTCCATGGCTATAAAACAGAAACCAGAATTAAAATTAAAGTCTGTCATTGGTCAGTTTCAAAAATAATGTTTTGAATCAACCAATCAGAAGCTTGAATTTTTGACTGGTTTTCTGATTTTAACATAGATCCTTTATCAAAGGAATTGTTTACTTTTTTTGGAGTAGATTTATATTTTAGTAAAGTAGTTAAATCATGCTAGTATTTGAGGTATAAAGTAATTGACCAAGTTTAAAAACTAGTACTACTTTTTTGTCATACATTTTTTATGGTGAATCAGAATGATGTCCAAGATAGTTACTCTCAAATCCTTTTCCATAAAAATTCATATTTTCAATGCCATCCATTTATCCCTTTCTCTCTTTTATATATATTTATATTAATTAAAGTATCTCTATCCAAGTTATAATGTCTGAACAGTTGTACATAATTACTTTATCTGAAATCTTGTTAAATATACTTACAAAATATTTATTTAAAACTAAACAATGCTAGATTGAAATCTATCAGTTAATACATTCAATATTTTAATTCTGTTAGCAAATGGTAAGTTACATGTTAATGTGTTTATGTAAGCTTTAATTGTGTTTGTTGCTTACCATCAGAGAAAATTTATTGATGAATAGTTATATATCTGTGAATATGAATATATATATTTTGAATATGAATATTCATATATCTATCATTATGTTTTTTGGTTTGTTTTTTTTTTCATTTAGAATGTCAGTAGACTAATATGATAGTTTTATCCAACCACCTTATGCCAGAATGGTCAATATCAGCTGTAAATATGAGCTATTATGCGCCAGAAAAATGTAAACCCGAAATCCCCCCCCCCCCCCCCCCCCCCTTCATACACACCTGGCCAATGAGCAGGGGAACTGCAGAGAGGATGGACCAGGTTTTTTACCCTCTGTCTGTATATTCACTGAAGGGTCAATGCAAATGGATTTTTTTGGGTACCAAAATAGTGGGATTTAATAACCTAAGAGTCAAAGTCCAGCTATTCCTCAGAACCGGGGTCGCTATTGGCTGGTGCATTATGAAATGATATCATATAATCTTTAGTTCAATAACTTTAAAAGTACAAAAAAAATCGTTAAGTAAAAATGTGTGATAAATAAACAAGAGAATCATCTTTCTTAATTGCATTTAGAATTATAATGTCACAAATTGTCATCAAGGGTTAATGTTTTATGAATTTTCTGTATATGATTCCAGTCATCTGTTTGCCCACTGTTTTATTTATACAATTTTGTATGTGTTTGATAAATGTAAACAGTTTACACTATCATATATTGGTGCACTATTTCATACATTTTTAAATGCATATTTCATAGCTTATTTTATCTGTCACTTCTTTTAGAACAAAATATTTAAATGTGGTCATCACTATATTGTTTTGAATCTATGCATTTAGTGTAAAAAATTGAAAAATCTCTGAAAATTTAAAATATGAAGCAGCATAAATAAGAACTTACAAAATTCATAGAAAATATCATTTAAGGACTCTTGTATTATACAAAATTCAAGGAAAAAATTAATCTTAGGAAAACAATTGAGCTGCGTCACGACAAAACCAACATAGTGCGTTTGCAACCAGCATGGATCCAGACCAGCCTGCATATCTGCGCAGTCTGATCAGGATCCATGCTGTTCGCTTACCAACTCTATTTCAAGTAGTGAAACTGATAGCAAACAGCATGGATCCTGATCAGACTGCGTGGATGAGCAGGCTGGTCTGAATCCATGTTGGTCGCAAATGCATAATGTTGGTTTTATCGTGACATGGCTCAATTGTTTCAGGTAGATAGAGAATTTTTTGTACCTTCTACTTGCTGAAAGTTAATGGTTCTTCTCAGGTCACCTTCTTGGGCCTGAAATATTGTAGGGATGGAAACTTTAACTTTTCTTTCATGGAAAATTGTCATATGGCATGTACTGTATTTAGTGTAATTTTTAACATAAGAATGTTGAAAGTTGATAGAAATTGAGTGTAATAATAATTTGAATGAATATTAATGATATTATTGACTTTTTTTGTAAAAACCTTCTTTTCTAAGCATATATATATATAACCAGAGAAGGATCATTCTTTTCCTATGAAGCGTACTTGTTTGCTAAAGATTTTTGTGCCCCCACTTTCGGGGGGCATTTAGATTTACCCTTGTTTGTCCATCCATTCCTCCATCCTTCTGTCCGTCCGTTCTCTTTTGTGTTGCACGTAGCTAAAAAAGTATTTGACCTAGAGTCATGAAACTTTATAGAAATGTAGTTGTTCACCTAGGCATTTTCGTGTTGATTTATTTAGTATTTTTAGAGTTATTGTACCTGACTTTTTAAAAATTTACAATTTTCAACTTGTATCGCATGTAACTCAAAAAGTATTCGACCTAGTGTCATAAAACTTAACAGGAATGTTGATCAGCATGTGTAGATGTGCATTTGGGTATTTTTGTGTGGATTTATTTAGTATTTTTAGAGTTATTGCCCTTGACTTAGTAAAAATTTGCAATTTTCAACTTGTGTCGCACATATCTCAAAAAGTATTTGACCTAGAGTCATGAAACCTTACAGGAATGTTGCTCAGCATGTGTATTTGTGCACCTGGGGTTTCTCTTGTGGATTTTTTCTGTTTTGCAAGAGTTATTGCCCTTGACTTAATAAATATTTGCAATTTTCAACTTGTGTCACATGTAGCTCAAAAAGTATTTGACCTAGTGTCATGAAACTTTACAGTAATGTTGCTCAGCATGTGTAGTTGTGCACCTGGGTATTTTTATGTGGATATCTTTAGTATTTTTAGAGTTATTGCCCTTGACTTCGTAAAAATTTATGATTTTCAACTTGTAGCACGTAACTCAAAAAGTATTTGATCTAGTGTCATGAAACTTTACAGGAATGTTGCTCAGCATGTGAAGTTGTGCACCTGGGGTTTCACTTGTGGATTTATTCTGTTTTGTCAGATTTATTGCCCTTGACTTAGTGAACACCATTCCATTATGTTGTGTTATTTGTTCCTCAAGTGCTTGAGTTAGAATCAACCAACCTTACAGGAATAATGATCAACATCACTGTGAAGCTAGGCACCTGGGGTTTTGCATGTGGATTTTTTTTCAGTTTTGTTAGAGTTATTGCCCTTGACTTAGTATAAATTTGCAATTTTCAACTTGTTCATGCAACACTCAAAAAATATTTGACTTGTAGGTCTGAAAGTTAACAAGAATGTTGGTCAGCATGTGTACTTATGCACCTTGGGGTTTGCTTGTGGATTTATTCAGTATTTTGTAAAGTTCTTGCCCCAATGACTTAGTAAACGATTTTTAGTTTTCAACTTGTGGCACATGTAGCCTAAAAAATATTTGACCTAAAGTCATAAGATTGACAAAACAGTTGAGTGTGGGGGCACCCATGTCCTATGGACACATTTCTAGTTTATTCACAACTTCTTACTGAATTTTTATTGATAAATAATTATATTAAATTATGTTAGCAAATGGTAAGTTTAATGTTTTTCAATGTAACAATGTATGTAATGTATGCTTTAATTGTGAGTGTTGCTTTCTTTCAGATGAATTATCAAGTAAACATGTACCTTTACTCTGCAACATGTAGACAATAAATATAGACAAATAATATATAAATGTCGTTAACTAAAAAGGGGGAAGTAACCTTTACCATGCTAAATTTGTATAATTTACTTACTTGGCTTGCTTTGAATTATGAGCTGTACATCATCGATAAGATGGATTTTTTATATAACTCTTAAAGCTACATGCCTCCAGATGAGTCAAAAATTTCAATAAAATCAAACTGGAGAAAAATGTACTAAGATGTAAGGAAAAGTAAAAAAATTCAAGATTAAAGTAATATTTTACATATCATGTGCTATTAATGACTGTTTTTTTCAATATTACAACTGTTTACTAACGCAGATAAGGCTATTTATGCATATTTTGACCAATATTTGGTAATTTACGTGGAGTGTAAGTGCCATTGATAATGTGTAAATTGCTTCCTTTTGGTTACTTCACAATATTACACATTCAAATACATTTTCAAAATTTTCATGAAAATTAGCATGAATCTGGAGGCCTGCTGCTTTAACCTGCTGGAACCATGAGTGATTGCCTTTGCCACCAGTATAGAGCCTGGTCAGTCTGTACATTGGTGCAGTCGGCCCACTTCAATACTGTTGGTAGCTCAAATTTTGATTTTAAATTCCTTTAAACTTCGATCAGACTGTTTCAAATTTAAAGCAGGGCAAATCTATAAAAAGAAATTCAGCAGGGTAAATGTTAGAATGCTAAAATTCACCAGCTAACAGTATAGAGCCTGGTTAGTCGGCATGACCTGGATCTATACTAGTGGCATGGACCAGCCATTATCATTGTAGGCATTTCAAAGGTTAACATACCATGAGTTCTGATTATAGTTGAGTTAAAATGACATGCTGGCCCAGCTATGCTGATAAGTTTTTTTAAGAACATTGCATATTTTGAAAATTCAGTGAAAAAAACAAACAAATGTTTATTCTTTTTTCTAAAGTATCTGTATGCAAGATCCTGTGAAATGAAAGTTTTTATTTTAAACTATATGTGGCTCTGCTAGTGAATAATTGTGTATATTAAAAAGGAAATCTGGGTATAAGCTGAAAAACAATCTAGTGTATGTAAAGCTAGAACAGTTTTAGGGCCATCATGCCAAGTTTAAGATCAACTTGTCAACTACTATGGTGTGTTTACAGTTACTGCACAAATTGTTACATTTAACAGATCTAATTCTTGTACAAATGTATTTAAAATATCATAACTGAAAATTAAACTCAAATATGTTTGTTTCAGTGAAATATCCATTTGTACATGTATATGCATGTATAATTTCATAACAGTTACGGAACTTGTCATGATGCCACCAAGAACTTTAAAGGAAATGTGCTTACCTGAAAATCAGCATATTCCTATGAAACTGCTTTTTCTTATGCCATATTCTTCACTATTCAATATGGTTTTGATTAATTCTTTTCCAATGAATGTATCTTGTTTATGAGTTTGAAACTGCTTACTGTGACTTCACACGCAGTTATTAAAAAAAAAATGGACAATCAACATAGTACAAAAGATTTGTGATTGGCAAATACTTGTGCAGTAAGAGCTGTTGGATTTGGTCCAAGCCTTGATACAACATCCAAATGCTTGCCCCTTTTTTACTCTGAAAATTACAAAAATATAATTTCAAACTAACTAAATGATATTTTTATTTAATTGTGATTCATAAATTTTAGTTTTATATGACATGACAATTATTAAAGGCCCATTATGCCCCAGAAACATTTAAACATTTTAAAACTCATGTTTGCCCTTTCTAAATAAGGAACAATTTCACTGCCTTTTAATGAGAGAGTGTTATCAGCAAAAACAAAATTTTATATTATCCTATATCTGTTATATCAAAAACATTTTATTTCATTGTTTTACCATTATTCAACGGAAGTCCTGCAGGTTGGATTGGTGGTTTGCATAATGTATCATTTATTATTATGCATGTTTGAAAACCTCAGTGTTTCTTGAACAGAGAATCTCTGTCCTTTTTGCTTTTTCCTCCAAAAAATATAAAAAGACTATCACTCCACTTGACAAGTTACCCATATTTGTTGCCAGTGTCAGATGTTATTGTACTAATGTTTTGCTGATCTGTAAGTATCATGTCAGTTGCTAAATTGGATGTATTCCGCTGAAACAAACATACTTGATAAACATGTAGTTACACATTCATGTACATTGTACATCTAAAATATTAGACATGTTATGTTAATATAGGTACATACATGCTGGATAAAGGAAATGTATTAAATAGCAAAAATGACAACTCATTTGCATAGCAGAACAGTTTTTTGTTTTAAACATTTTTGTCGCACTTTGATTAATGCAATATTATGCTTTGTTTAATACAGAATTTATTGTTGATTGTAGAATTCTAATGATTTTGTTATATATCAGCTCTAAAAATATCGCAATCGTTTTGATTTTGAATGCTTTGTGGAAATTTTTATACATGTATATTATTATCAGTTTATTAATTTCTTTATTCTTTGTCCTTTTTTTGTGTGTAAAAAACACATTTATAAATATATAAATATATATATGATTTTTTTTTTTTTTAAGCCAATGCCTTAATATTACTATACATTTTAGTCAAGAGGTATTTAGATTTATTAAGACTGTCTAGTCTTTTTTTGTACAGTCAAGCTCCTCTTTAAAGACCACCTGTGTGAAAAGAAATATGGGGGCTTTGTTAAGGGAATTGTTGTTAATACACACATAAGATGGTACAAGTAGTATGGGGAAATAAAACACAAGTTTTGAAGGGAAAGTAACATTTTGTACCAAGGTGGTCTTTGAATAAAGTTAGAATATATTCTTGTCATAATTATATTTACATACATGTATGATTCAGTGGTTTATATGGTATATATTTCTGATTATAGCACAAAGTGACCATGAGTTATCTGGGAATGAAGATCCAAGCATACTTCATGCTTATATTGCCTATTTGCCCAGTAGAATTGCTTACAGAGAAGGTAAATATACTTACATTTAAATTTGTAAAAACTTAAAATCATGTTCATTTTATGAAAAAATTAGCATCAAAACATTGAAAAAAAAAAAATTAAAAAAAAGCCTTATAAGAAAAATGAAGAAATATTTATTAACATTTTTCCAAATTCTTGGACAAAAATTCCCAATTTGAATATTTATGCAAATGGTAATTAATGTGGCAAAATTTGTTATCTGTTTTCATGTACAGGAAAAGAGATTGTTCTTGAATCTAATCTAAGTGACCATGTTGTTTATTAGTTTGAGCAAATAATCTTTAAATTCCCAAAACAAGAATATCTGTTATATTCCCAAAATATTGAGAATAGAGTGTATCTGATGTTAAAAAATTATTATTTTTATTGCGCTAATATTTCAGTTGCCAAATTCAAGAAGAGAGCTCGTTACTTGGAGTTTTTTGTTCAGGTAGCACAAAAAGCCTTGACAGAAGGTCTGCCGGAACTCGCTCTAGATTGGTGCGAAGATACAGAAACCTGGATTGCAAGGTACTGAAAAACGTAAATGTTATATAAAAGTTGTTATTATTATTGAGACAACATGAAATATAAATTTTACAAGTTATGTTTTGGAAAAGAAAAGCTATTTCTGATTATATACAATAATTATTTCATAGCAATCATTATCTAAAAGCTAATCAAAGGATATCCATAGCTAGCCTATCACAATTGTCAATATGTGACATTATACATACCATATTTTTAGCCTCCCAGATAAGAGGATGTGGGTTTAGAAAGGCTAGAAATTTGACCAAAAATTGTGGGATTTTAGTTAAAGTATGTTTTAACCAGTCTTAATATTTATAATATGCAAACATGTACATCATATCATAAATTACTGCAAATGTTATTTCAATCCTTGTCAAGTAGTACAGTTGAAATGACCACATCTATAGATGTTTTCCTAAGTTTAGTTCAGTTAAAAGCTATAAGAGGATTATTCCTCCATTAACTAAAATTATAACTAAGGTATCTTGATAAAGTACTGTAGATCTTGAAGATCAATTCTCAAGTATTTGAGCCGTGTCATGACAAAACCAACGTAATGCGTTTGTGACCAGCATGGATCCAGACCAGCCTGCGCCTCCGCGCAGTCTGATCAGGATCCATGCTGTTCGCTATCAGTTTCTCTACCTGTTATAGGGTTTGTAAGCGAACAGCATGGATCCTGATCAGACTGCGGGGATGCGCAGGCTGGTCTGGATCCATGCTGGACGCAAACCCATTATGTTGGTTTTGTCATGACACGGCTCAATTATTTTTAGACGTAATGAGCAGATCATTGGTATCCGGGCATTCCTTACAAAACAACCTGGCGGCACGATGACAGTCACTGGTGACGACCCAAAGAAATTTGCCGCTGCAATGGTCGAATACAGTAAAGAAAAGGTAAAATAGTTAAACAGTCCACATTGCTACAAAATTACTGCAAAATAATATGAAACCTCTACTCAACTATGTTTACGGTTACTGTGTTTTAAAAATTGTAATTGATCATTGTTAGAATAATGTGATTTCATTATCAAAAGGTTTAAGTAGCCAACAAGATAAGAGTATTGTCCGATATGTGCAGCATTTGTTACAGTCATTTTACAAGAAGTTTTGGTTAAAATTTCCTTAAACCCAAACAAATAATGCATGATACATGTTTATAAAAGTTGTCAATGGAAACCTATATGGGTGACTGCAAGTATTTTCATTTTTATGCCCCCACAATGCGGGAGCATATAGCGTTGCACTTGTCCGTCCGTCCATCCGTCAGTCCGAGCAAACATTTGATTATTATGAGCTTCATTCTGTAGTTAAATAAAGAACAAAAACTCATAAAATTCAAATTAAGAGCTATTTTTTTGTTTTTATGAGCTTATTTTGCTTATGGACGTTGGTCCAGGTGGTGTTTATGAGCTGATTTGCCTCATAAACATCAAATTTTGGTACATCCGTCAGTCCGTCCGTACGTCCCGAAATCTTGTGAATGCAACTCCTCTTAAACCGGATGGCAGATTTTGCTTAAACTTACAGAGATGAACAACCTTAATGTATAGATGGTAGTAAAGGAAGGAATTTTCGCTGCGTATTGGAGGACATTTTCAACTGATACATCATTCTGGGAGAAACAACTGGTTTCTTTCATGAACAAGGTGTAAAGTACAATGAAATTGAAAGACTGTCAGTAATAAATGTCAGAGTAACATAGGATATTACCTGTTATCTCCCTCAAACAGCAGTACAATCATTAAATAGTGAAATAAATAACTGACTTAAATGTATGATGTTGAATCTGTTTTTCTCCACCTTTTGTCAGAAAAAAATTAAGTCTGGGACATCAAAATCTGATTCAATAAAAAATGGTGCTATATTTTAAATTCAGATATGCCCAATGAGGGCGTTCTGGTAAGGTGTATTCTTCTCGATATTAATAAAGCAAGTTCTGTAAAAAATTCACTTGTCCAATTAACAAAAACCGACTGTCAATTTTGCCACCCCTGTAAGTCTAATATTAAAAAAAAAAAACTCAAATAGAATTTTGCTTTAATTTTGAAATGAGACTAGTTTAGAGCCCAAAATAAAATAAAATAAGTTTAGTAGGAAATTGATTTTTAAACTGTAAATAAAATCCAACCCACAATTTGATTGTTGCATAATGTAACAAGAAAATACACATAGAAGCCTATGATGTTTTCCTCCAACAGTTAATCTGGTATAACATAAAATCCGGACAAGATGTTTTTATGCCCCCAGAGGGAAGCATGATATAATCGCACTGTCTGTCCGTTCGTCTGTCCGTCTCCACTTAATCCGTGTCCTGACTGTAACTTTGTCATACATTGAGGGATTTTGAAATAACTTGGTAAAAAATGTCTACCACATCACAACATTGTGTCGCATTCAAGAACCACGTCCCTACCTCAAAGGTCAAGGTCACACTATCATTTTGAAGTTTCACATTATCGCAATTAGAGTAAATAGGTACACACATTCATGTCCGGACTGTAACTTTGTCATGCATTGAATTATTTTAAAATAACTAGGAATAAATGTCTACCACATTAAGACGATGTGTCGCGTCCAAGAATTACGTCTCTTTTCTCAAAGGTCAAGGTACTATCATTTTGAAGTTTAACATTATTGCAATTAGAGGAAAAAGGTACACACATTCCTGTTCGGAACTGTAACTTTGTCATGCATTGAATGATTTTAAAATAACTAGGCATTAATGTCTACCACACCAAGACAATGTGTCGCGTTCAAGAATAACGTCCCTACCTCAAAGGTCAAGGTCACGCTGTCATTTTGAAGTTTCACATTATCGCAATTAGAGAAAATAGGTACAAACATTCGTGTCCGGACTGTAACTTTGTCATGCATTGAATGATTTTGAAATAACTTGGCATAAATGACTACCACATCAAGACAATGTGTCGCGTCCAAGAATTATGTCTCTACCTCAAAGGTCAAGGTCACACTAACATTTTGAAGTTTCACATTATCACAATTAGAATTAATAGGTACACACAATCGTGTCCAGGCTGTAACTTTGTCATGCATGGAAGGATTTTAAAATAACTTGGCATAAATGTGTCGCGTCCAATAATCACGTCCCTACCTCAAAGGTCAAGGTCACACTACCACTTTGAAGTTCACTTTATCACAATTAGAGTTTATAGGTACACACATTCGTGTCCGGACTGTAACTTTGTCATGCATTGAATGATTTTGAAATAACTTGGCATAAATGACTACCACATCAAGACAATGTGTCGCGTCCAAGAATTATGTCTCTACCTCAAAGGTCAAGGTCACACTAACATTTTGTAGTTTCACATTATTACAATTAGAATTAATAGGTACACACAATCGTGTCCAGGCTGTAACTTTGTCATGCATGAAAGGATTTTAAAATAACTTGGCATAAATGTGTCGCGTCCAATAATCACGTCCCTACCTCAAAGGTCAAGGTCACACTACCACTTTGAAGTTCACTTTAGCACAATTAGAGTTTATACGTACACACATTCGTGTCCGGGCTGTAACTTTGTCATGCATCTAAGGATTTTAAAATAACTAGGCATAAATGTCTACCACATCAAGAGGATGTGTTGTGACGAAGACCCATGTCTCTACCTTCAAGGTCAAGGTCACACTTATAGTTTTAAGGTACTCATTCTCTCTCGAGAAGAGTTTGAAGATACACATTTATGTCCAGACTGTAACTTTGTCATGCATGAAAGGATTTTAAAATAACTTGGCACAAATGTCTACCACATCAAGACAATGTGTCGTGGCTAAGGCTCATGTCCGTCTGTCAGTGTGACCCCACTTACACAACAATCATGTCCAGACTGTAACTTTGTCACGCATTGAGGGATTTTGAAATAATTTGGCACAAATGTCTATATCATAACAACATTTTGTGGTGTCCAGAAACCACGTCCCCTCTTCAAAGGTCAAGGTCACACTTGTATTTTGAAGGTTCATGCTATTACAATTAGAGATTACAGGTACAATAATACAAAAAACAATATTCTGCAATTAGTTACTTTCATTCTCTTTTCTTTTTATAATACCTGCATGCTTAAGAAACCTTTTCGGGGCATTCGTCACTTGGGTGACAGCTCTAGTTATATATATATTTTACTGAATACTGTTAAAAAATAATTGCTTACCAAAATTAAAAATGATTTATGTTACTTAGGCACCTAGTAGGCTAGGTAGGTCAACTAGTAAAATGGACAAGTCTGTCAGCAGAGCCGGTGTAAGGCCAAAAAGTAGAGTCCAGAGTAAACTGGGTCCGATCCCCTCGCAAACAAAACGTGGCAGCAGTCTAGGAATGAAAGTTGGCACAATGGCCCCAAGTGCTAAAATTCTTGGCATCACTGAAGAGAAGGTTATAAACGTGTTTGATTGAGTTTTGAGGAGTTCTCTCCCCTGCATGTTGTTGGAGAGTTTCACATAAAATCTGCCAGTTTCACTTCCATGTTTTTGTTATTTTTGTTGTTGTTTCAGTTTGGGAATATTTCTTCAAGGCAAAGTTCTTTACAAAAAATGTATATTGCATCAATTTTACAGATTTTTGGGGTTTTTATTTTTTGTTTAGAATAAAATTTAATGAATATTTTTATGCCCCCGGGCATATAGTGATTGAACCAACCGTCCGTCCGTCCGTCTGTTCGTCTGTCCGTACGAGGTTAACCTAGAACGGCAAGTTGGATTTTTCTTAAGTTCTACCTGTACCAATGGCTTCTAAGTTTACACACTTACTAATCAATACAAAGTTCACAATCTGGGCAAGTTTCATAACTCTGGCTTTCATATTTACCAAGTTATTGCCCTTTTCAGCACTTAGAAAATGAATAATGGTTAACCTAAAACGGCAAATTGGAAATATCTTAAGTTCTATCTATACTAATGGCTTTATAATTTCCACACTTACTTATCAATACAAAGCACATGATATTGCCAAGTTATATAACTGTGTCATCCATATTTCCCAGTTATTTCCCTTTTTTCACTTTGAAAATAGGGCCTTGTCTGGTTAACCTATTTCGGCAAGTTGGATTTATCTTAAATTTCTCCTAATTGCTTAATTTCTTTACTGATATCTTTCATATTTAGTAGGTGGATACCTTTGATGGTCCTCTAATTTTTTTTAGAGTAAGCGGTCTCTAGGGTCAAGGTCAAGGTCACTGGTTTATAAAATAAATATAAACCTTTTTGCTCATACAGCCTTTATTTTTAGTTGATGTCTTAGTTTAATACAAACACCTCCTTCTTTGGGTGTAGTATGGGGTCATTTGGGTCAAGGTCAATGTTACCAATGTCAAGGTCACCAATGTTAAAAATAGATTTTTACATTTTTACAGGTGTATTGACCTTATTCTATAAACAGATGTTATTTATAATTGATAGAAACATAAACTTTGATAGAGTAAGTGGTCAGTTGGGTCAAGGTCACCAGTGCTAAAAATAGATTTTTACACATTTGCTCATACAGCCTTTATTAAGTGACAGATTATATTTTATATTTGGTAGGAAGATAACTTGCATGGTATTCATCCTTTTGATTGGGGTAGGGATCAGTGGGTCAAGGTCACTTGTGCTAAAAATAGATTTTTACACTTTTGCCCATACAGCTTTTATTTATTGACAGTTGTATTTCATATTTGGTAGGAAGATAACTTGCATGGTATTCTTCCTTTGGATGGAGTAAGGGTCAGTTTGGTCAAGGTCACAAGTGCTAAAAATAGATTTTTACACTTTTTGCCCATACAGCCTTTATTTATTGACAGATGTATTTCATATTTGGTAGGAAGATAACTTACATGGTATTCTTCTTTTGGATAGAGTAAGGGGTCAGTTTGGTCAAGGTCACCAGTGCTCAAAATAGATTTTTACACTTTTGCCCATACAGCCTTTATTTAATGACATATGTATTTCGTATTTGGTAGGAAGATAACTTGCATGAAGTTGAATGTTTTCAACTTCACAAGTCAGAGCAATGACTTGGCAACTTATATTTTTCACAATTACAAAATGCCATGACTTTGTCAAACTATAAAGCTATAAAATTTTTTGGTGATTTTTCTGTCCATAACTGAGTGAATGGGTAAACATTTACGAAGTATTGCTACTGACAAGAATCTGAGCCGGGGGCATTTGTGTTTAACAAACACGTTCTTGTTTTCTATTATTTTTTCTATGATGTTGAATTGGTCATCATCAAAAAAAGCTATCTCCTTTGTTTGCCTGTGTAAGGATACAAAAATGTATGAAAAAAATGATAGATTCAAACTTTATATAAACATTTTCGGAATAATGATTCCTATTATCATGCAATAAAAATGAATGGCATTTCTTTATTGTAGACAAGTTCACTTGTGTGTGATTGTTAGAATTGATACACTTGCCTTTTATGTCTTTGTATGTAAATGTTGTGATTTTTGTAAACTTTAGAAATCTGAAATGTATATGAATAAAACACTTTCTTCCTTTTCTTAGGCAGACTAAGCTCTTGTGAAGACTGGTTTCAGAGATGCGAAACATTTTAGTATTTTGAAAATTCATCAGTCATAGTTTTCTGTCGGATTAAATTTGTAGTTCTTTAAATGGTGTAATTACTATTTGAGTATTGCAGTCTTGATACTGCATGAACTTTATTATGTCAGATATTATTAAAGTCTTCCTCATTTTTTTTATTCAATAGAATATGAAAGAAACCTTATTTAAGATCTGGCAGTTCATGAACTTGACTGGTTGCTTAAAAGTCTTTTTTTTTTTAAATTCTACCAATTGCAGGGTTTTATTTTGACTCAGCTTTCAGGAAGCAGTTTTTGTATATCTCTAAATCTACCGTGTTATGGGTGATTTTTGTAATGACATGCATACTTGATGAGTTTTATGTCTTTTTCAGGAATTTAGTTCACCAAGGGCTCCACAGGGCGGTTCAAAGATGGTCCAGAACAAGGGTCAGTCAGCACCAAAAGCTAAACGTAAACAGAAATATAAGGTATGTACAGAATTTGCTATGTCTGCAATATAGTCTTGTTGATTTTTTTTTAAAGAAAAACAAAAATAACTTTATTTGGGATAGTATTTTATATGAATATAATATTGGTAAAAACTACATTATCTCTGTTGGTAATGTGAATCATAACGGCACAGAGAAACAATATTTTGGCAGATTTTTACTGCTAGATTAGTGCTGGGACATAATGAAAAGGGACAAGCAACTTGAGATTAGTGCCTGGTTATCTCTTGTCCAATTTCGTGTACCCCGTCACCATTTTTGCTTATTGATCATTGTTATAAAATTATTGTTATGTTCCCCGAATTAACTTCGGAGGAGCATATAGTCGCCGCCTTGTTCGTCCGTCCGTCCGTTTGTCCGTGTGTCCGAGCTTAGGGGCTATATAACAGTAAAGAGAACAAAAGACAACAATAGGTTCATTCCATCATCAAAGTGTTTATGGGCTAGTAGCCCTTAAGAAAACAAAGAAAATAACAAAGAAAATAGCCCCTAAACCCAAAATGTTGGAACGTCCGTCTGTCCGCTTTTCTTGTCCGGGACATAACTTTGAAACAACAAGAGGTATCAACATGAAATTTTGTAGGTAGATAGATCTCATTGAGTAGATGTGCAGTGCACAAGAACCGTAACTCTGCCTTGCCTAATTTTGGAGTTATTGCCCTTTGTTCATTTTTACACTTTGAACTTTGTCCGGGACATAACTCTAAAACTAAAAGAGGTATCAACATGAAACTTTGTAGTTAGATAGATCTAATTGAGTAGGGGTGCAGTGCACAAGAACCGTAACTCTGTCTTGCCTAATTTTGTTGTTATTGCCCTTTGTTAATTTTTACACTTTGAACTTTGTCCGGGACATAACTCTAAAACTATGAGAGGTATCAACATGAAATTTTGCAAATAGATAGATCTCATTGAGTAGGTGTATGAGTGCACAAGAACCGTAACTCTGCCTTGCCTTATTTTGGAGTTATTGCCCTTTGTTCATTTTGACACTTTGAACTTTGTCCTGGACATTGCTCTAAAATTATAAGAGATATCAACATGAAACTTTGTAGGTAGATAGGTCTCATTGGGTAGAAGTGCAGTGCTAAAGAATCCTAACACTGCCTTGCCTTATTTTGAAGTTATTGCCCTTTGTTTATTTTTACTTTTTGACTTTTGTTTAGGACATTACTCTAAAACTATTAGAGATATCAACATGAAACTTTGTAGGTAGATAGATCTTATTGGATAGAACTGAAATGCTAAAGAACCTAAACACAGCGTTGTTTAATTTTGGAGTTATTGCCCTTTGTTCATTTTTACACTTTGAATTTTTCCCAGGACATAACTCTGAAACAATAAGAAATATCATCACAAAACTTTATAGATAGATAGATCTCATTGAATAGAAGTGCAGTGCAAAAAAACATAACTCTGCCTTGCCTAATTTTGGAGATTTTGCCCTTTGTTCATTTTTTTTATACTTTCCTGTGTCCAAAACCTTATCGGGGAGCATCACCCAGTTCAACTGGTTCTTGTTGTCCATAGTAAACATGTAAATAAGAGAATAATAAGTCAAATGGAATATTACTTTAACAGTCCTTTAGGATTTAATTGGTTTTTATATGATTTTATGAAAATTATCAATGTATTTTTTTTATGATAACAGCATAAATATTTGTCTTCTTGATTGATTGACTGTCAATTCAATGCTTACATAAAGATGGCCTATCTAGTCTATAGTTGCTTGTCTCATTATATGACATCCTAGATTTGTGCAAAAGGCTTCTGCTTAAGCTTGAAAAACATCCATTGAACAGTTTCAGGAACTTAGTTATCAAAAAAAGTAATTGAGTATAAATGTATGGTCTGTACAGGAAGGCAGCACTATTGTGCCTTAATCTATTCTTGTGACCTTGATTTGGTATTACAGTGAAAACTCTGAAAACCGGACCCTCTGAAAACTGGAATCCTCTGAAAACCGGACCATTTTAAAAGTCCCGTATTTTCTCCTTATATGTTCATTGAAAAAAATCCTCTGAATACCGGAACCTCTGAATTCCGAAAACCGGACGCTTTTCTGTGGCTTCTAATGCTAAACATGCATAAAAAATCCTCTGAAAACCGGACAGCAATTTTAAGTGTCAACTTTCTGTGTATTTTAAAGTATATTAAAACATAATCTCAACAGGTGACATGTTCAATTACCAGTTAATGATCACCCTTTTTATCTATGCAGGTGTGAAAACACTTGTGTGTGTTAATTTCTTATTGGCAATTAAATCATAGCTCTTTCATTATAATTGTGCCTTTCCCTGTATAGGTATGATTTTTCTAAATGTTTTTATTTTGTTGTGTGTTTTTTTCTTCTTTAAATATAAAATGTCTAAAAGAATTAGAAACTTTTGTAAAATGATTCCTGTTTTGCTAAAAAAATTGATCTTTGTTTAGATATTTATTATATGCAAAAGTAGTAATACTAAATTCCATTAATTACATATTTTAAAAGCCAATTAAAACAAGATATATTTCAGACAATGTGTTGTTTAAATTTCTGATTTTCTGAATTATATTCATGGATTTGCATAATAAAATTACTTAAGACATTTATTGTTAAAAGAAATTAAAATATGACTTAGACAAAAATGTTAAAAAGTAAATACATGACTGTACAAAATGTTTTAACAAAGTCATTGTTCAAACACATCATAATTATCAATAAATGTATAAAACCTCTGAAAACCGGAATCCTCTGAAAACCGGACTTTTGGTCAAGTCTGGAGAGGGTCCGGTTTTCAGAGTTTTTACTGTATAACTAATACACTTAACAAGCTAAAGCAGTGTATCGAATGCTATTTATTTCTTTATTTTACCAGCCTCTACATGTGAATCAGAATATGTCAGATGCTGCAAAACAGGCCCAGGAAGAGGCAGAAATAAAGGTAATGATTTTTCAAACATTTTCAAAACCACGATTCAAACTTTAGTTAAATAATCCTTTTTCACTCTGTTTTGACAGACCCTATGATCTTTACCCTAAACCTCATTATTTCATCTTTCAGAACTTCCTGTTTGGCTATATTTTTAGAATGATCATTACTTCATTGTCTGTAATTCATGACATTTATCCCTGAAGTTATGGAATGGACTTGTCCAGTCCTTTATTAATTTAAGGGATTCCAGGATGAAAAAAAACCCCTAAAATATAGCAGCCATATGTGATCTTTCATTATTACAACTTAAATTATTTTGATTTTCTAATCAGCAGACGTTTTTTATATTAATTGATTAAAATTGTTCAAAACTAGTTCTCATCTCATCATCATCATAATCATCACTGATATTGTCATCACCATCATTATCATCATCATCATCATCATCATCATCATCATCAACATCATTATTATCATCACAACTTTTAATGTCATAAGTATCGTCATCATTATTATCATCATCATCTTCTTTATCATCATCATCTTCTTCTTTATCATCATCATCATCATCATCATCATCATCATCATCCTTGCAATTGTTATCATCACAACTATACATGTCATAAGTATCATCATTATCATCATCTTCTTCTTTAACATCATCATCATCATCTTCTTTTACTTCTTTATCATCATCATCATCATCATCATCATTGAAAGCATTATAACATTATTAATAACCATTCCCCTTAATACCACCACCTCCATCTGTTAAACAGGTTATTATTTCATTACAGTATAGTGACCCATATTATGCAGCGGTAAGAAATCAAATCAAATTGATGTAGAGATTTAGGGGAGTTTGATATGTATGTTTTACATACACTTTGATAGATAGTTTGCAATAAACATGCATTAATTTTTCATACTCCTTAGGTATTTGCACTAGTTGAAAATGCTAAGTATGTACATTTACAATTTTCTGTTAGCACAGTAAAACTGGCATAGAATATTATCATGTCTTAGATATTTTAGGACTTGACCCTTAACCTGCTGAATTTCTGTTTAGGACTTTCCATTGGAACCTTCCATTTAAACTTTAAGGGATTTCAGTATAATAAATACAAAAATTGAGCTACTTGCGGTATTGAGCCTGGTCAGACTGCACAGATGTGCAGACTTGCTTGGTACTATACGGGTTGCGAAGGCATATCTCTTTCAGTTTCGGCAGGTTAAGGGTTGATGTTTTCAGACTTAAAAATTATTAAATTCAACATTTATGTAAATGCAGTCAAATAATTCAATCTTTTTAGAAGCAACATTTATTTGCTGTACAGTGTTGGTAACAGGCTTGGTAAGGAGACCATTAGACCATAAGACTGTGTGGTTCAAAGTTCAATCACCAAGATAGGCACTAACTTGTATTCTTTACATTTAGTAAGATATATGCTTCATGTAAAGCTATGCAGTTACTAAAAGAACATATACAGACAATGAGCTGTAATTTTAAAGTTATTTTGCAAATAATTGTCATCAACAGACTTGCATAATAAATATTTGGTATGAAACCTTACGAAAAAAGACAGAAAACACTGCAAGCATTGACTTTTATAATAAGCCCCAGGACATGATAAAATATGTTTAGGCTCTAAAAAGGGTAAATTCTAGAATTTTGATATTGAAATTGGCAAATAGACAAATTCAGCAGATTAAGGGTCAAGGTAAAATTCTTTGATATATTGTCAACAGACACTGACTTCAAACAAACTTTGAATAATTTTTAAACTTTTATCAATAATCATTAACTTAAACATTGTTTTAATTCATGGATGTACATATACATTGATCAGGAATATTGTAAAATTAATATATTTAGTTTACTATTTTGATGACACTTGTCACGGTGTATGCCATAAATGCATTTGGTACATGGTCATTTACAATAGCTTGTCAATTGGTGTTTTTTTTATCTGGGATTTCTTTTTTTATATTTAGAATGTCTTGTGTTATGTATTTTACAAAATATTTTGATGAAATAGCTGAAATTTCATTTTGTAACCTGATTTTTTTAGTAAATTATTCAGCAGTCAATTGTGTCCTTGTCTCAGAAACTATTGCATTGTGGGGGAAAGTGGAGCATAGTTATTCCTGAAGTATATCACAATATTTCTGGTTTGATAAAGTTGGATTACTTTTGGCTTTAAAATAGCATTGGAAATTAAGATAGTTTCATAACTGCTGGGGCAGAGGCATTTAACATGGATTTTACTATCGATTTCTCACCACAGAGCATGGCCTGTATGAGGGGACTTGCCAATGTCTCCACTATTTATTGGGGAAAAGTAAGGCCGGGCAACAATTGACTGCTGCAATAAGTATAGAATACAGTAACTTAAAGATTTAAGAAAACTTGATAATAAGTCAGGTATAAAATAATACAGTTTGTGATGTAAGCTGTATATTTTGGGGTAGATATGAAAGATACAATGTAGTTAAATGTACTTTTTAGAAAGCTGCATATACATGTACTATTCACATATTATTATTTTTATTTTGGGATTTTATAAAAAAACAAAAAAACAATAACAACTGACATGACTGATATTGGTAAGATTTGGAATACAAATCTTTGGTATGCAAAGCAAGTATTCAGAAATGTTTTTTATGGCATTAACTACATTTATATGGTTAACACTAACACAATGTTTTATAATAGTAACCAAGTTGGTAATGCACAACCAGGCTGATTATACTTGCAAATTTATTTATTTTTTATTTGGTTGTGCCTGAAAGTAACAATAGGCAACTCTTGGGCCACAGATGGACCAGTCCATTATGCCTAATCAGTTAAGACAGAGCTAATGTATTAATGTATTTTATCTTATTTTTTGTAGTCATTAGAGAAGGTGAGCCAACATCTACCGGATATGTACCGAGGATGGAATCGGAAGAAGCGTCTGAGGAAGATTTGTAATGATGAGATGCCTTGGAAATGTCAGGTAATTTTTGCAAAGTTCTTATGAACGAGGAACATTTTTGAGAAAGTTTTACAATGTATTTCAAAACTGTCCAAAAGAAAAGAATAAGTCAAAACAGCTATCCTGTTAAGTCGTGCTTCTTGATTTTGAAGATTCTTAGTCTTTTATTGTAGTCTTCAGTCATGTATCTTAATATGATGTTGATTCTTCACAGGGCTACTGGTTGTTATAAATTATCAGTGTTGTCTTGGTTAGCCAAGAAAGCCGAGAAACCAAAAAAGTGTACTTAAGTTATCCCTGAAAACTGACTTGTTAGTCCAAAAATGGACTTTGTTAGCCAAAAAAGTAGACCTGTAAGCCCAGGAAGTGGACTTTGTGAGCCCAGGAAGTGGACTTTGTTTGCCCAGAAAGTTGACTGGACTGGCCCAGAAAGTAGACTTGTTTAGCCCTGAAAATGAACTTGACAGATTTTATTTTAAATAAATAAGCTAGTTAATGTAAATTCATGCTGTGTGTGGGTTATGATAAAATTGATTTGTATTACTATTGCAGCTGAACATTCTACAAGGTTTAGCTCAGTTTAATGCCTTCTTACATAAGCTGGAGAAGAGGGAAAAGGTCCATGGTAACCAGGACAGTATTATGTACAAGTAAGTTTTTTTTTTAGTTTAAAAAATGATAATATAACCTAATGTCTTAACATCAGCTTGAGATAAAAAAAATCACATTTTCATTAGTACATATGTTTTCAGTAATACATTGCTGTTTCAAATTTATTTGAAATTAAAAAAAAAAATTAAATAAGTATAATAAATAAGTTTTTTTTCTGGTTATATAATGATGATTTTCCAACTTTTTTATACCCCTCACATTACAAAAGTTGTAAGGGACTTATACTGTAATAAGCTTGTTAGTCCCACTGTCCATCTGTCAGGTCATCCATCCAGTCCTATTTTCAGTTTGTTGTACAGGGCATAACTCAAAAAGGTATGGTATCAACTTGAAACTTAATAGGTAGATTGAGAAGTGTAGTGCCCCAGAACCATATCTCATTTTTGCATAATTTTGAAGTCATTGCTATTTGTAATTTTTGATACTTGATTCTTATGTGGAGCATAAATGCAAAAACTATTGAATGTATAAATTACTGAACATTTTAGGACCAACTTCCTAGATCAGGAGTGGTTTGTTTTTGAGACTGCTGGTACCTTAGTTGTTGGTTGGGAAGGTGGACCCTTACATCATGCCAATGTAACAGAGCCGGGTGAAAGACAGAATGTCAAGGATGGTACCAAGCTCTCTGCTATAACAGACAGGGATGACAGTGAGATTAGCTCTGATGAAGATTTACCAACAATGCATTCTAAGGCTAAAACAAAAACCACCGAGGCTCTTGATCTGGCTGGGTTTGAGAGACCTAAAACAAATGCCACAGGCATAGAGATTGCAGCTGCTCTTGCAACTGGTAAGTAATAACAGTCTGTACTTGGTACATGTTTACTCCTTATCGTAATAAATTAATAAAATGGTTTTGCCAAACTATGAGAGAGTTTAGTTTGGTTCTATACAATAAATGACCGGACTTTATGTTCTATGTTATATTCTGTTTTACCATGTTTTACAAAGACAAAATACAAAGTATTTTAAAAAAAATTGTTAAAAAATTGCAGGAGCTCCGCCTCCCCCAATGTTCACGGAACCGCCTATCATCGAGGACACGCCTAGAACTTACCGTTCAGACTTGAGTACTTCAAGACTTCATGTACAGAAAACACAGGAACAGCAGGCTGATAAAGCCCTTCTCAGTGCAGAAGAAACCCTTGATTTTATAAGCAAATCTTTTGAATACTTCAAGAAAGCAGTGGTAAGTTTATAGAATTCTAACTGGGGTTGTTTTGTTTTTTTTGCCATCAATTTAATAGTTTCAATTTCATGATTACTGTTCTAGCAGAGAGATAGTTATCTACAAATCTAGAAAGAGTTTGAATGAAATGGCAGTTTTGTTTTACCATTTGATTTGTTAGTTCTAAAGGAAATTATTTATAAAACAACCACAGTTGAATTCAATAACAAACTAATTTCTTCTTTGCAAAAATGAAAAAAAGCAAAACATTGACCAAATTTAATTTCAGATAAGAAAAATTTTATTTGCGGAGTACAAAATTTAATGTTAAGGGTGATATCATATTTCATAATAAATGAAGAAATTGTAACTTGACAGTATAAAACAAATTTGAAGTATTTTCATGTCATTTGTTTTTACAGGTTTTAGCACACAGAGGACAGTACTGGACTTTATTACAGAATGCTGCTAGGGCATTATGGAACAGTGCTCACACTGCCTTGTTACGAGCATATACACCGTCAATCAGTGATGCAGATAATGGTTTACTCACCATAGACGAGATCAGATCAAAGGCGTGGAAACCATTACATGTAGCGGCCGACTGTCTCCTAGATATGATGACTCAGTTACAGTTTGACATGCAGGCACAAACAGCAAAGGTTGGTTTGTATAATTGTTCTTTGCATTTTGAATAGTTTCTCAGTCATCTACCTCTAGGCAGTTCCCTTACATGTTTTCTCTGTATTAGAACTACATGTAATCATTTTTGTTCAGCTATTTCAAGCTAACTTTTTCCATTTCAAATATTCTATGTAAATAAGCAGAAGTCATTGTGAATAATGAATGGTATAAGTCATATTTTAGTCAACCAACGTCATACATTAAACTTGTCTTACTCAGGACATGAACACACATATCCAGGGTATGTAGACCAAACACACTATGGTTCTTATTTAGTTGGCTGAGCTTGAGATTTAGGAAATATTAAGTTCCTTTTCAAAAAAATATGTTAATTTTCTTCATTAATATGTTTCAGGCAAAAGCAAAGGGAAAAAAGCTTGGAGAGTATTTTGATTCCTGGACTGGTAGTGTGCTTAATGAAACTGGTGGTGCCAGTCTAAAATTTGAAGATCCAACAGATGACCAGTCTGTTGTAGATGTGAGGTTCGTCAGGAGACTGGTACTAAGAGTGTTAGAAATCCTTTACTATGAGGAGAAATGGGAGAAACTTGTGGATATAGCTCTCAAGTTTAACGCCCTTACCAAGTAAGCTTTATTTAGCACTATTATAATACTGCATGTCTGTAACTTATATTTTCATTGGGCATTTGAAAGGCTACTACAATGTATTTCTTTTATACACTCAATTTAAATGAGTTGAAGCAATTGTGCAGTATAATATATTATAATAAATTTTGAAAGGTTATATGGCCTTTTGTTATATAACTATATTGGATTTGGCTATATTTTCTTACAACTATTTATTCTGGGCCTTAATTTTAACATGCCAAAAATCTGTATCCTTATTGTAAAGTTATGTATAAGAAATAAATTAGTTTAGAAATATAGAGTGATTATAACATACTTTTAGATCCTTCTTTTATACCGACAGACATGTGTATTTTCAAGTGATAAGCCCTCACATGAAGCATACAGTTTACACAGAAAAATTTCAATCTTTTATAGTAATGAAAATAATGACAATATCATGTGCTTTGAAGAAAGTTGTGTATTCAGGATTTTTTTGGGCTTATTTTTATATCAGTCATATTCCCAACTGAATGCTCAAATGTTTGAAGATGGCATCCTAGACAGTGATTCTTTACATTTATGTAATTACTGCAAAAATTAATGCATTTTTCCCAATTTTTATCAAAACATCACTGAAATTCCCAATTCCATTGATATGGGTCATGTTCCCAAAATCCTGGAAAAAAACCCTGGTATTTACTCTACTTTTCTTATTTCAGTGAGCGATATGCAGAGCAGGTTATTCCATTATTGGTTCAGGCACAGCGAAAACTGACCGAGGGTATTCAAGAACTTGGCGGTAAATCACCACCACAGCCTCACTACCAACAGCTCATGTACAAGCTAAACTCTGTCATCACTGCAAAAACATACCTGACCCAACAGCTGGAACTTGTCATTGATAAGAGTAACTTACCACCAGTCCCGGCAGGTGCGGGTATTGACCCCCTCGGACATGGTCTCTATACAAGTAAAGATGCTCTGAAGAATGTATCGGTGCCACTAGACGTGCCATACAGTCTGTCGGTATTGTACGACGCCTTTGACAAGTCTCAGTATACGTCCAGGGCTCTACAGCACAGCCGTAAACTTATGGTGCTTTATCTAGCCAATCAACAAAACAGTAAGTGTGACTTGTCTAAAAGTGAATTTTCTCATATTAATTTATGCTTTTAGTTAAAGGAAAAGTCAGTATTTTGATGATAAATTCAGCAGTTTTTTTTCATTTTTCAAACTTAAGTGGGAAAAAAACGTTACTAAAGTTAAAAGAAGATATAATAATATAAGCCTAATAGGCAACTCCAGGCAAGTTACCAGGGTATTTTTATCTATATTGTACTGTGACATTGGTGTGTTAAGAAGGCAGCTGTGTTGAATTCCTTTTATACAGGCAATGCTTGACTTCAGTCTCTGAAGAATTGTTTTGAAATTTTGTAATAATTTACCATTTAATATTAACACTGATTATTTTCAGTGTCAGAGGCAGCATTAAGTAGACAGCCGTCTCGTGTTGATTTTATTCCCAACACGGCTCGACCACAGCCGACTATGCCACCAGATATCAGTCGGGAAGAGTACTTAGATCCATCTGACGTTCAGACTGCGCCAATTCCTAGATCTCAGATAGGAACTGTGATTACTTCATATGAGAAGACTATAGGTAAATCATCTAGTAATTCTTCTGAATTTACTGAACGGTTTAAGGTTTTTACAACTGGAATCTCAGTCTACATATTCAACTGTTAAAGAAGATGACTTTTCGATCCATTTGATATATATGAGACAAGTGTTGGTTTAGTCATTTGTTTAGATTGAAACAGCTTGGTACAGATGCTTAATGTATTTAAAAAAAACACAATATTGTCATGTCTTGTGAAATTTAAAATAAAATTTGCCTAAATCATTTAAAAAGGGATTGCTTGGTTTTGACTGGTTTATAATGATTAGAAACTGATAGACTTTGGAATGATTTATGTAAATCGCAAATGCTTAACCTTAATTAAAATGTTTAAATATAAAAATGAATGATTTTATTTACAAAAAATAATAATGACATTTGTATACCAGAATATTGAGAAGAACTGACATTATCTTATTTAATTCTATTTTTCCCCTAGAAATGCTATTAGCAAAGAATGCACGAGATCTTGCGGCTCAAGCCATGCATGAAACAGGCAATCTTCACTACCATTGTGGTAACCTGCGAGCAGCATACAAATGGTGGACTACAGCCTTGGAACTTATTTTGAGTGCCGATGACGTGTTGCACTCGTGGCGAGACCTATTCAAAGATGCGTCTGATATTAGCGCGGAACTTCTTCAGCGATGTGGTATTTGGGGTTGCGTGTTATCTGCAATCCTCACATCTAATATAGCTCAGTAGGTGTACAAATACATGATTTATTTGCAGAATTTTGATGACACTAGTGATTTATGCCCATTTTTGAAATCCAGTAGTCATTAATTTTCTGTTAACTCTACTTATGACAAAATCTTGCGTCACTGTATTTATCATTGAGTTATTTAAGAATGCAATACCTTGTTGATAACATAACTTTAAAACCATTAGTTACTCATTACACCTGTTGTAAAATTTAAAACTCCATATTAAAACTTAAATCCTATATCAGAAACTATTCAAATTGTTTCTAATCAAACTGTCTAACGAATACAAAGAATGTTTTGATTTTTTTTTCTTTTGATCATAAAGAATAAATCTCTTACTTGAAGTATTGTCTTTCTTTTGTGTTCATTTCTTTCTCAGTAACAAAAAGTTGGCAAGAAAATACTTAACTTTGGGACCTGGAACATTTTTATTTGTTGTGCTATACTTTCAGGTTCATTTTGACCTCTGACCTTGGGCTCAGAACAGAGTGTTGCTTTTTATCTGGATACTTGTTTAAGGTAAAGTTAAACTTGATATAAAAGCTTGTCAGCCTGTTAGTTAATCTTAGTAGACTATTTGGTTTTGGCTTTAATTTACATATCTATTTCATGTTATTCTTTAGTAAATATACATGTGTAAGTGGGGCATCCATGGCCGAGTGGTAAAGATTGTTGACTTCAAACCACTTGCCCCTCACCGCTGTGGGTTTGAATCCTGACAGGGACTTTGGATTCTTTCATGTGAGGAAGCTATCCAGCTAGCTTATGGAACGTCGGTGGTTCTACTCAGGTGCCCGTTCGTGCCTGAAATAATGCACGGAAGGGCACCTGAGGTCTTCCTCCACCAGTAAAGCTGGAACGTCGCGATATGACCTATACTGTGTTGATGTGACGTAAAACCCAAAACAAACAAAACATGTGTAAGTGCAAGCAAAAGGAATTATCACATTTTTTGTGATGATATTTTTGCAAACAAGGCATATATCCATTTGCTCGCCATTGTAGAATCAAGTGAAGATTATGGAGGAGGTAAAATATTTTTATTTCATTTCAGGCTATATTTAGAGCATCTTTACCCCACCCACTTGCAGATCGTGATTATGCCATGTATGAGGTGGGAGAGGGGTGTGAGGTGACAAATCTGATCCCTGGGGTAGACTTGTTATCGGAAAAGTTCCGAGCTGATGGTAGACAGGTACTTGCTGCATTACGTTGGGTCATTGAAGAACTTGCCAGAGGTCATCACAACCTATTTGTAAGTTTCACTTTGAAAAATGCTTTTCAGTTACATGTATTATTATGTTAGTTTGTATGAAGCTTCCCTGAATTCAATTGTTGACTGAAGGTTTGAGTTCTACATGAGATTTTGAATTCTTATATGTGAGGCAGCTTATAAAGGTTGTGGTTGTACTAGAGTGCTAGCTTGGGCCTGAAATGTTCTTGGAAGGGTATACTAGGTCTTTCTCCATTTTAAAAGGGAGATGGTCCCCAGTGAACTTACAATGTCAGAATAACTTAAAAACAAACCAGGAAAAAATGTTTTTTTAAAGAAAATAGTTTCTTAAAAATGTGATTAAAATTTGAAATAAATTAAGAGTAGATTTACAGAATATATAATTTTGTATATTTTCTTTATTTTATAAAGCTGTTTGTTGAACATTGTTTAATATTTGTATTTCTCTCAGGTTCTTCCCTTGCTGACCTTGAACCAGTATTTTGCTACATTTGTTTGTCGAGACCTACAGAGGACAGTAGATGGTAGAATCCTCAAGTGCCGCGTCCTGTCAGACCTGAGTCTGTTCTCTGAGGCTCTGCAAGTTCTACAGAGGCTTCTACATGGGGAGAGGCTGCCCCACACTGGGGACAGCAGCTTTAGACAGGTCGAGTCGAAGGTCTTACCTCTAAAGTTCAACACCAGTAAACCCCTAACTGAACCAAGTAATCTGAAAGTAAGATTTTCAAAATTTTATTTAGTTTTAGATTTTTACAATGCTCTGACAATTAGAATATAAAAATGATACAGATGTTAGGTAGTAACATATGCTGAAGAACACCTTGAGAAAATTAAATACAGTATGGCATTAAAAGCATGTAGGTACAGTTAACACTGTGTTACAAGGACATCCCTTTACAGACAGTCTTAATTTTGTTACTATCTGATTTTATTTATAGTAAATAGGAATTTCCTTCTCCAAAGCAATACTGTAATATAAGAAATTCATAACAGTTTGTCCTTAATATTCTCTTATGAAAAAAATAATGTATTGCAGTCTGATGTAAATGGCATGACCAAATTTGGAAGTGTCTTTTTGTAATACCGTAGAAGAACTTATTTTGCGGGCTTAATATTCTGCGATTTTGGTTAAAATAAGGGGTTTTAAATTTCTGCGTATCTTATTTCTGCGGTGTCATCATTCTCGCATTGATGTTTTTTATTTCTGCGTTTAAATTAAGATATTTTTACAAAATTAACTGATACAAACAGACAACATTTCAAGATTTGTTGATGTAACATGTACATTACTTCCGGTAAACATGCAGACGACTTATAATGTGTGCTCATCGTAATCACCATGTTTCAGTATATAAACATTAAAAAACAAAAATCAACAACGTGCAATGACAACAATTAATTGTAATACTGCATGTGTATAAATATGAAGTGTGAAAAATAAACTATGGTAAAATCGCACGTAGACACAAAATATTGTACAAATACAAAAGGTTATGTTTATTGCACCTGTCAAACTATAACAGTTTTATTTTAATATAAATCAAGCTTAGGGTGAGCGAAAATCATACAAACATGATATTTTTTTAAACAAAAAGAACAAGTAAAGTAACTTTTATTCTAATATTTTATTCATGATGGATACATAAAGAAAACTTCCCATCTAAAAAAGCTGATAACGGTACATGGTAATGTAATTATAAAATACTGGTAGTTGACATATTCCAACATACATGTAGACATAGCAAAAGGCTTAATTTTCTGCAGTTTTTAAATCTGCGGTGTCGTTATAAACCGCAGAAAAGGCAGAAATAAAGTTCCCGCAGAAAAAAGTACTTATACGGTATTAGGTTGCCTTTTATATACAGGTATGATCACTGAAATGTAAACAAGGCCATAAGTTATTACTGCTGTCTACTGGAGTTGCGTATTTTCATAATCATGTGTAGTTTAAACTTGTAAATTTAAATTGTAAGAAATAATTTATTTACTTTTCCAGCTTTTAGAGAATGTTCTAGACAAGAGATTGTCCTCCAACCTTGGTATGTTATATGGACCACACCAGACCTGCCACCTGTCTCTGGTTCAAGCCCATCTGTTTGTGTGTCTGGCACAAACCTTGCCAGTCCTTCCAAACATTGAAGATGTCCTGTAAGTTATTGATACATTTATTATTAAAGACTTTACCCTTAAACTGCAGGAACAAAAAGTGATTAGTCTTTGCCACCAGTATAAAGCCATGCCAGCCTGCACATTGGTACAGTCTGACCAGATTCTATATCTATAAACGGTGGCTTATAGCTCCGTGGGGCCATGGGATTTTATTTTAAGTTTGTTTTATATTGTTTGAACTGTATGTATGTATGTATGTATGTATTGCAAGACACTCTATAATAGATAAATTTTCTAATTATTCTTCTAAAACCGCTGGCTATTTAACTTCAAATTTCCATCTTTATATTCCCAAAATAAATACAGAACAGTGTTTCAAAAATTGAAGCTGGACAAGTCCATTTAAGAAATTAAGCAGATTATGGGTTAACCTTTATTCTATTTAATGTACAATGTTTTTGTACTGATAAGACCCTGCTAGTTAAAGGAGTTTCAATTCAAAATATTGATCAAGAATTTCATTATAACCCAAAATTTCAGCTTGGTTATCAGATACAAATTTAGTTATGAAATCCAATGACATTTCACAAGCAGTGGCTTATTTGGTTATCCTTTTCACTAAAAAGCATTGCCACTTAATGAGGTTAAACCTTAAATCATAGAAAAGAGCTGTATATGTACATTTAGTTAAATGTGTATATTTTTAGTTTGTATAGATTAAAATTTTCACTATTTCTATTTCACACAGTTTACCAGAAGGCGGAAGTGCCTTGAAGCAGCACACTATCAGCACAATATCAAGAGCTGGCACTCTCGGCATTCAGGGTATTAAAGGTCAGGACACCCCTTCGTCAAAACCGAAAAAGCCATCGGTCAAAGCATCTAAATCTGACAAAAATGGTAAGCAAGTTTTTCATTGGTTTATTTGAAAAGTTTATGTTGTTTTGTTTTTTTCCAATTACAAACGTGATTGGTTTATCCTAACAGTTTCAGGGTTCTTTAATTTGTTTAGTGTGATATAAAATGTTTTGAGTTATTGTTGCCCATTGATTATATATGTAAGTGTTCGTCTTATTTTGAAATAATAATCTATGTCCTGTCTGAACTTTTCCTTTTGTAACTTTATAAATGCTTGTTCAAATATGATTAAAGCAGCATGCCTTACCAGACGAGCCAAATATTTCGATAAAATCAAACCTGAGAAAAATGTACTAAGACTTTAGGAAAAATAAAAAGATTCAAGCTTTAAGTAACAACTTACATGTTATGTGCGATTAATGATTGATTTTTCAGTATTACTAATCATATTTCTTCTGCATTACAAAAGGCTATTTTCGAATATTTTGACCTGATTTTTGTAATTTACTCGAGTTGTGAGTGATGTTTGTAATGTGTAAATTGCTTCCTTTTTGTTACTTAACAATATTGTACTTTTAAATACATTTTCAATTTTTTCATGAAAATTAGCATGAGTCTGGAGGTGTGCTGCTTTAATGATATGAAAAGAAATTTTAACATACATGTACACAGAATTTTTTTTCTTCAGGAAATATATTTTCTTTTCAAAAATAATTCCTATAAAATATAGATACAAAGGTGAAAATAATATATTGGCTTGACAAGTTTTGTATGGTCAGTGTTGCCTATCTCTACAAGGCTGTAAAATTACCAAATACTTCATAATAAAGCATTAGTTTTGTTAAACCTGAGAAAATGTCAGTGGGTCCTGACTAAATGATAACAATTTGGAAGCTACCCCATTTCCAAATTTATATTTAGTGGTGTTTAACTTACCGGTATACAAAATAAACATTTGTCTTACAAGTAAAGTTCCGATATTTTCACTCTGCAGATGAAATATTGCAAGATTCTTGCGATGACATTGACAGTAAGTAAGAGCATGTGTAACAACATTTGAGCCGTGCCATGACAAAACCAACATAATGGGTTTGCGACCAGCATGGATCCAGATCAGCCTGCGCATCCGCACAGTCTGATCAGGATCCATGCTGTTCGCTTACAAACCCTATAACAAGTACAGAAACTGAAAGCGAATAGCATGGATCCTGATCAGACTGCGCGGATGCGCAGGCTGGTCTGGATCCATGCTGGTCACAAACCCATTATGTTTGTTTTGTCATGGCACGGCTCATTTCACAACTCTTTCATACTCATAATGATAACACAATCTGTAATATAATACAATCTTCCTTACAAAATCAATATATAAACTTATTATTTACTTCCATAATATCATATGAAATCTTGAAAATTAACTGTATTCATTTAACAATGTTTCTATAGCAACTATTTACTGTTTTCATTCTTGTAAACAAATCTTGCATTGAAATGATCTTGTCTTTTTCATCTGTATTAATATGATATAAAAAAAATTACTTTTTAAGTTATTTAGCTTTTTCTCCCCTTTTTTAAGAATATTTGCTCTTACAAAAAAGCAGGTTTTAAGTGCTATGTGGCAGCAGTAGAACACTGTCCCCTATTTCATCTCAGCATTTGACTTGTATTTATACTACAATGTGTTAGATATAAAGATTTTTGACAGGTTATATGGCTATATATAAACTGTTGTTTGGAGATTATATAGTGGCTCGGGGTTACTAATATTGCAAACAACCATTTATAATTTACGGCCATATAATTTTCTCAGAAATATTTATTACAAATTGACAATAGAGAAAGCATTTTTTTTTTTAGAGAAAAAAGTGAGATTTCTTCATAAATTGATAGCAGATGTGTATATAAAACTATGTAAACGTCAAGATTATCCAATGAAAATTGACATTACAAACATGCAGTATTATAACATATATTATATTCTTGTCATCAAAGATTTGATTTGTTGAAGATTGAATACCATAACTTAGTCTACTAAAGCTGCTGAATCTAGGAGGCTTAGATGTTGCCCATCCCATTATCTTCATGAGCAGACTCCTTTAAACTGAGCCATAAATTTTTACATACCATAGTTGTTTTTGTTTCAATACCCTAGATAGATATCTTAAATATGTACATTTAAGCCATGACATGACAAAACTAACATAGTACGTTTGCGACCAGCATGGATCCAGACCAGCCTGCGCATCCGTGCAGTCTGATCAGGATCCATGCTGTTCGCTATCAGTTTTCCTACTTGTAATAGGGTTGGTAAGTGAACTGCATGGATCCAGATCAGACTGCGCGGATGCGCAGGCTGGTCTGGATCCATGCTGGTCACAAACCCATTATGTTGGTTTTGTCATGGCACGGCTCATTTATTAACAAAGCTTCCTTTTAGGTATTACATGTATAATGGTTTGTTATGACATCTGGCTTATGTCATCATTGCTGTAAAGAAAAAAAAAATGTCGTGATTTGGTTTATTTACAAGTTTTTGAGACTTCAAACGGAGAAAAGTACTGAACCGAATGTTTCTGGTACAAGTTCATGTTTATTGAATCATCATATTTGCCTAAAGAATTTGTCCAAAAACTGTTCTATAGAGATATACAGTTTTAATGTCCTGTAGCTAAATTAAGTTTCAACTTTTATTTCCCAGAAATGGGTTGAACTTTACATGTATAAAGATTTAATGAATTATGATTATGTCATATAAAATGTAACATAAATGGCAAGCAAAATATCTCATGTGTTGATAAAATATATATTTCATATTGGTTATTTATTCTCGGCTGAACTATTTGATCATTGTTCTCTACAATTGTAACTATATATTTGTTGTTTGTATGGTTAATAAGAAATCTCATGTATTTGATTGGTCAGAAACGGGTACAGCAGGTACACCAACCAATAACAAGCTTGAGATTTATGACTTAGCTCAGAAAAAGGTTTCATAACCTCATGGCCAGGCATAAACAAAGATTAATAGCTACAGGAGGTATTGACAACATAACTGAAATTGCCATTACAGGAGAAATAGACACTATAACTGAAGTTTCTGAGAAAACAACTGCCACAAAGGACAAAAAGAAAGATTTACATATAGATGTTGAAAAGGGGGATAATGATGAAGATGTCGACGATAAGGCTTTCTCAGAGACAAGTTCTAATGGAGGACAATCTGGATCAAGTATAACCCGCAGACTGTGTCACCATTCTTAATACTAGACTGATACATTATCACTGTGTAGATTTCACAATATTCTTGACATTTTCACATTTTTTTCTCTCACAGCACTTGGGTGATTTTTTCTTCTTCACATTTTCACATGTTTTCATCCTAACTTTGCAGGCACGTCTAGACGCTGGCATGGAGTTGCAACTGCATGAATCCAGTGTGAATTCCCTCATCCCTGTAGCCTTTATATTAAAACCTTTAATTTATGTTATTTTGTAGATTTCATATAATTTTCACATTTTATACACATTGTTTCACATTTTTCATCACTTCACCTTTTTGCAGGTATAATCAGGCATTGAGCAACATTGCATGGGTGCTGTGTGGTTATTTATAAATATTTAACCTTAAACCTGGTTAATTTCTGTAATGAAATTATTGTTCAGTTCAGCTTTTATTTGGAACAGTTTCAACTTTAATGAAATGTTAATATAAAAATAGAAAAAATTTGAGCGACCAACAGTATAGAGCTTCGGTCAGACTGCACGGATATGTAGGCTGGCCTGGTTCTATACTGGTGGCAAAGGTCAATAAATTTCGTTTTTGTCAGATTTAGGGGCTCTAGACATACTTAAGTGATTTTGACCAAAAAATAATGTGTTAAATTTGGCATGAAACCAAGAAAAAAGCAAACAGTACCAAACTACTAATACAGAAAACTAGTTCAATGTTAACAGCTTGAAAAATATTTCAACTTTTGTTGCATTAAAATAAAATTTGACATTATGTATGCTGGGAATCCTTGTGGTTGTTCACGATAGTAATTGTTTCAAGTACAAGTAATTAAATGTGAAGATAAATTTATATCATTTTCTTTGAATAAGTAGCATTAATGTTACATTTTAAATTTCAAATCTGAACATGAAATATTATAGATTTTTTGAGCATATGTGATACAGATCTCAGTTGCCATTTTGTTAATACATAATCCCAAAACATTCCTTGATCACTATATAGAAATTGAAAACAAAACAATAAAATATGAAATTAATTGATATGAATATGTATTTATCAATTACTGTAGTATTTACAAAAAGCTTTCTATTGCTTTGCTTTGATCCAATAACCTTCCTAATTGAATATTCTGTCTTGGTTTGATTATATAGGTTTATAAATAAATTCTTATAGAATGATGGTGGTGCTCATGTACTGAATGATGGTGGTACTCATGTACTCAGGTGCCCACTTGCAATGCATGGAAAGGCACCAGGGGTCTTTTTCCTCCAGTAAAAGAGAATAAGCCATATGACCTTCACAGTGTCAGTGCTACTTGAAAACAAACCAAAAAAAAGAATAAAAAGTATCTAAATACCAGTTTACCTAATGCTGGTTTGATACTAACATTCTGTATTTACTTTATTAAAATTTCCATTATAATTCATTTGAAGTGAATAGAAATAAATTAGAATCTAAGGCGTTTTCTGTTCAAAATACATGAATAAAGGGAAGTGTTGGTCTTGTGATTAAGGTGTCTGTCTATGGCTTTGGGTTCAAGCCCTATTTGGGTCATGACTATTATGTTTCAATAATATTAAACCCTTAGTGTACTGATGGTGACAGATTCTGCCCATGCAACCAGTGCAGACCAAGATTATAGCAGCCATTTACCTGCCGTCAGATTATGGTCTGCACTGGTCCCGATTCCGTCAGTATATATTTTGAAATTTTACCTAAAATCAATAAATGGTTTTGCCCAAATTAAAAGATCAACTTGGGTCTATGTAAGATAATTAGCGTGGTAGGGGTTCATGTGCATATGCTCTTAAAAAATTTCAGTTTTTTACTTTTCTTCATTAAAGTAGTGATATGACTTGTTTTCCTGCGGGTGATCTTCTTTTATTATTGTTTATATTTTGTGTCAGCCTATCTCTTTATCTTTTTTGCATTCAATATTTAAATAGCTACCCCCTCCCCTGTCTTAATATTACATGATTAATTCCCATGCAAAATTTAATATAATACAAAAAGCTTAATTCTTAATGCTTAGATATTGTTTCCTGTAATAAGTATATTTTGTAATATTTTATTCAACAAAAACAAGAACAACAACAATAATGTTCCTGAATTAAGTATTAGTATGGCTAAATAAAAACAAAGTCATTTCTATGACTTCAGTTTAACATTAAGTGATAAAGATTTTTTATTTATACAGGAAGAAAATTGAAAAGTAAGATTTAAAATAATTTTCTAAAGCTGGATTGGAAGTTGTAAGATAAATTATGTGGTTTATTATTTTCTGTTAAAGTTATTAAAGAAGACCGTAGTCTATTAAACAATTGTTTGAAAATTTAGATATTCATATATACGAACAAAATGTGCTTAATTCATTGGTGCAAGTGAAAAACTTTTGATGTTTTGACGACATCTATTGTAATTGAACATTATCTTACTTGTTAATTTCAGCTCGAGATGAGACGGAGCAGACCGTTTGGATCACAAAACGTTTCTCAGGGGCCAAGAAGCCTGTGAATCTGGAGTTCATTAAGGGGACATTACTGGTGATTGCTGATCAGATGGCTGGAACAATTGCCGATGTCATACTAGAGAATGCCGAACTTGAAGGAGGAAGTAAGTTCATTCGGCTTCTTAAATAATAAACTATTTATTTTTTATTGTTTGATTGACCACAGTTTTTGCTATGTTTAAAAAAAAATTGTTATGAATCATTACCTAAATATTTTCAAGCTGTGATTAATAGAAAGTTTTGATTTATCACATTCAAAGATTGGCATACTGAATAGGATGACTACACTTGGTTGACCACTTGAGCTGTTATAATGCACATAAGGATGCTAAAGATATTTCTCCAGCGCTGAAACAAAAAAATCGCCATATGACCTTTAGGGTGTTGGTGTGACTTAAAACCTTGTAAAAGAAATATTTAAAAAATGAATCAGTACGATCACATAAAGTAAAAACGTACAAGAATTTTATAAAAATTGAAGTACGAACACATAGAGTATTATCAATTGTTACAGAATTAGATGAGCTGTCAGCGGCAGAACTGGAACTTGTGGTGCTATGTAAACTGGAACAAGCTGCTATAGCCAGACAGAAACATCATGCTCCGATGGCAGCTAGAATTGTTTTGTCTTCACTGAAACTTCTTCAGTCGTCGCATTTGTTCCGCAAGAAAAAATTCATTCCCCACCCACCAAGGTATTTTAACAAAGTTTTTTACTTATTAGAAAATTTTCATCAGCAATTAGAAGTTAAAACTGTATTCATTTTTACACTGTCATTTAAAACAACCTGCATGAGCACATTCCTATGATGTGAATTATCAAACAGGAATTATATTACAAATGTACATGTTATGTTGCATGGGACTCGCACTTGTTCCCCCTTTATACTCTCAGTACACATGTCTTGTTAGTTGATTTTTGTAAACAGATTGACTAAATGTTGTTTGCTGAATGTGCAGTTTACCATGTTATATGATGTTTCTGTATTATTAATTGTGATGTCATTAAAACAGATAAATCTTGGTATATGATGTCATAAACTGATGTCATAAGTGACAGGAATTACATACTAATCTGATTTTTTCATCCATTATTTCTTTGCTAAGACATTAGATTTATTTTTTTAACATGTCTGATTGCTTCTAAAAGTTGGACAAGTCCAGTTTTCAAAAATAAGCTGAATGAAGAAGTAAAATACACATATAATATGGAAAATACACATATCAGAAGGATTTTTAGGTCTTCTTTTTGGAAAGCTTCGTTTCATGTTTTTGTGTTCCAAGATAAAACAATCAAAACAAATGTTTCTTAAGCATTTTATTATCATGGTACCTGATTATGAGATCATCAGATCTTGAGAATCTAAGAAAAAATTATATGAGCCGCGTCATGACAAAACCAACGTAATGCGTTTGCGACCAGCATGTATCCAGACCAGCCTGCGCATCCGCGCAGTCTGATCAGGATCCATGCTGTTCGCTGTCAGTTTCTCTACTTGTAATAGGGTTTGTAAGCGAACAGCATGGATCCTGATCAGACTGCGTGGATGCGCAGGCTGGTCTGTATCCATGCTGGTCGCAAACGCATTGCGTTGGGTCTGTCATGACGTGGCTCATATGTGAACATTGAACACAACATAGAAGATGTCTTTGTTTTCACTGAGGTTTATCTGTTGTTTTTTGTGTATCATGTATTATGTTAAAAGGTTCATACAATATTTATGTGACAACAACTTATTCCAAATTGTATTGTCATAACTTGTTACAGGGAGTCTCAAGTATTTGAAAGAAGGTATTTTTCTTAACCTAGGCCACACCAAATTCTAAACTTATTTGTTCATCAGATTATTTTCAGTCCTCCAGAGTATACTTGAATGTAATCTTGTAGATTTGACAAGAAAGTGAATACTGATAAAAATAAATTAATTTATTATTTTGTTCATTCAAGTTTTAAAGTCAAATTGTTAAATCAGATACATTCTTTACTTGTCAAATCTGATGAACAAAAGCTAAGTTTGGTCTGGCCTTAGCAATAGATCCAACCACATATGTAATAGAAGTAGATGTGTTTTCAGCTCACCCTAAGTTATTTCCACTGAAAATAATTGTGATCACTGAATGTCTGTTTCCCGCCATTGCTCTTTGCTCTGCCAATATTTATCTCAATAACGGCCAAACCTGCAGCCAGTATAATAAGCCAAGCCAGTCTGTTTATTTGTGCAACCTGACCTGTCAAAACTCTATACAGTCTTATAGTAATTTTTAGAATTTTAGCCTTTTTTGTGTTGAAACCCCATAAAACATAAATGGACTGTTCCTAAGTGATATATAATGGTATAAGGATTGTTTTAAGTTCTTTTAACTGGCTGAAATTTAATGATATCTCGGTGAAAAAAAACAAATTTAACAGAAGTTGAAGGAGGATTTGGTGTACATTATTAGACATTGACTTTTAAGGTTCTTGGTCATATTTCAATTTGTCAAAGATGTATGAACATCTCCAAATGTGAAAGATTAGGCAAGGGTTACATTTGTCTCTAGAAAAATAAACAGACAGCATAAAAATATGCCCATGATTCATGTTAGGGCCCAGGAGTGCAAAGAAATGTTTTGCTGTACATTTGAAATTTAACTTTTAAGCTTCTGAATGTTGCATCACTTATCAAGTTCAAGTGTAGTATCTTTTTTATATACCTTGAAAAATGAAAGAAATGTTGTAAAACAGTTCTCAGTGAAACATTTGTTCTGAAATATTTCAGACAGGTGAGCGACTCTGGCCAAGCCTACCTTTTTTGCTTTCATAGAAATTTTATTTCATTTCATGTCTTCCCTAATTGTCAATATTTGTTACTAAAAAACTTTAATATGCACATTTGTTTTGTTGATTGCACCCTTATCTAATTCTTGTATTGTCAGACTTCAATATTTTTACAGCAAGGACTTTATGCATTATCATTGTAACTCCATGAATTTGGACAAGTTACAACTCTGTTGTGTTAAATAGCTCTATGTATCATAAAATCTATAAAAAGTGTTCCAACCAAATACCACTTAGTTCAAATAATATGTACCATAAGATCCATAATAAATATTCTATTAAATTTTAATGAACAAATACCACTTAGTTCAAATAACATGTAACATGTACCATAAGATTTGTGTTTAGTGTTTCAATTATTTTTTATAAACGGTCAAATACAATGTGTACCATAAGACCATTAATAAATGCTCCATTGCATTTCAATGAACAAAATTAATACCACTCAGTTCAAATAACATGTACCATAAAAGCTATAATAAGTGTTCCAATGAGTTTTAATGAACAGATACCACTTTGTTCAAATGACGTCACATGTACCATAAAACCTGTAATAAGCACTCCCCCCTTCTCCAATTAATGCACCTCTTGTTATGAGAGTTTATTTGGATCATGGACGACATTGTAGGGACATAGAGAGTACTTCAGTAAGGTGATTGGACTTCTGCATAATTTTCAGATGTTTCTGGTATTTGGAATAACTTAAATGCAAAGTTCTATAAAATTTAAATTGTTGGTGTTTACAGCAGTTTAAGTTTTGACTGGATGTTTAGCACGTAAGTATGGTACCTGCTGTGAATCTGACTGAGATAAAGGAACTGTTCCATCTAAATTTATAACTAATCATTGACTATATATAAGCCAAAAGGGTTCTTCATAATTCTGTGCCATATGACAAATTTTACACATTGATAATGTTACTCATTTTAGCATTATGCATAGACTCATTATTACACGTAAACACTATTACACACAGACACAGTATTACTATTAGACTCAGTGTTATGTATAGTATTATGTATTACACATAGACACAGTATTTAACAAATAGACAGAGTAATATAATTATATATACACATTATTACATTATAAGCACAATATTACACATAGAAACAGTATTACACATAGACACAGTAATACACATAGACAAAGTGTTACACATAGACACAGTGTTACACATAGACACAGTATTACACTTAGACCCAGTATTACACATAGACACAGTATAACATATAGATACAGTATTGCACATAGACACAGTATTACACATAGATACAATATTACACATAAACACAGTATTACTTATAGACACAGTATTTCACATAGATGCAGTATTACACATAGACACAATATTATATATAGACACAGTATTACACATAAACACAGTATTACATATAGACACAGTATTGCACATAGACACAGTATTACACATTGACACAAAATTACACATAGACACAGTATTACACATAAACACAGTATTACATATAGAAACAGTATTGCACATAGACACAGTGTTACAAATAGAAACAGTATTACACATAAGACAAATTTGTGCACATAGATACAGTATCACATATTTTATTACACATGGGCACAGTATTACACATAAACACATTGCCATAACAGTAAAAATCTACATTAGTTGTAGACATACATGTATTGTTTGAATAATAAATGTAAAGAATTCAGTAATTTGAATTTAAATCCCAAACAAGCATCCCCTACAAATAGTAGTAAATAAGAATAACTAAAATGTGTGGTCTGTTCTGTTCTTCTGTTTGTTTGTCTGTTTCATTTTGTTTTCCCTATTTGTCAATGCTCTTTTATAAAATGCTTTATATTTTCAAATAATTACACTTTTCCTAGTTTTCTGCTTTTCAGAAATACTAAGTTTTTTTGTGACGAGAGGTCTACAGGTCTTGTACAAGGAAACTGTCATTTTTGTTTTAGGAGAGGAGAAAATGAAAATGCAGATTTCTTGTGTATTGTTAACAGCATGATTGCAAATTTTATCATTTTACTTTGGAACTAAAACAGTTTTTGCATGATTTGTTATTGACAGAAATTTGATGTAAAAAATTGAAACAAATGATGCAGTATATTGTGTCTATGTACAAATGTATAAGAACAAAAAGTTTGCCCTCTAATTTGATATAGTAGTTCTTTTGTAAGGAGTTATGGCTATCCTATTTTGTATGGAGTTATGGTCATTTTGTTAAGAACATATTATTTTGAAGCAGGGGAATTTATTGTTAATTTGTATAATTCTAGTTTGTCAGGATGACACATATATAAATGTGTTGTATATATAAATGTGTTGTTATAATTTTTTGTTAGTTATGTGAAAAAAAGTAATGAAAATGGAAATAGTTTAGCCTATACAGATTGTAAAACAAAACCAATAAAATCAATACTTTGGCAAAACCTTGAGCAAAAGTTCAAGCTCATAAGTTTAAAACTTTACTTTTCAGGCCTTCATCATTGAAGAGTCATGGAGACAGTCACAGGAAGAAACCAACATTCTTTATCAAGCTGAGTGAGCCGGAAAACAGCCAGTTTCAGTATCAGAATTTCCAGTCTAGATCTCGGCTTGATGCCCGGCTATGGCTCTCATGCAGATCTTCCTTGGTCCAGAGTCTTATGATGGAGATCAGAGGCATGGGTGATGTTAAAGGTATAAATGTACTCTTCAAAATAAAGTTAATAAGAGCATTCCTTATTTTGTCAATACTCAAGATCAGGTCAAAGTTCAAGGTCATTTAATAGTATTTTTAGAAAAATCTGTAATATTTCACAAAATTGTGATGGTGATTAGAAAGAGATCATTGTAATGTAACATCATTACAAAATTGTTTGAAAATTTATAAAATTCAAATGCAGCAGGGAACAAGTCTTTCTATCAATTTTTAAAATGCTTTGAAAATTTTAGTTCAGAAAGAATTTCCAGTGAAGATATTTGACAAAATTTGACCTTGGATTATAGCCTAAGACTTGGCAATAAGTGTATGGTATACAATGTACCTAGAATTGTATTATTATTATTATGTATTAAAATAAATATTTTTATACCCCCGCACAACAAAGTTGTAAGGGGGGTATACTGGAATCAGCTTGTCCGTCCGTCCGGCTGTCCGTCCGGCCGTCCGTCTGTCGGTTTTTTCTTGTCCGCCCAATAACTAAAGATTCCTTGGACCCTTAGTCTTCATATTTGGCATGGAGGTTAGTCATGATTAGTAGATGACCCCTATTGATTTTGAGGTCACTAGGTCAAAGGTCAAGGTCACAGGGGCCTTGACTTCAAAAAGCTTGTCCGCCCAATAACTTAAGATTCCTTTGACCTACAGTCTTCATATTTGGCATGGAGGTTAGTCATGATTAGTAGATGACCCCTATTGATTTTGAGGTCACCAGGTCAAAGGTCAAGGTCACAGGGGCCTTGACTTCAAAAAAGCTTGTCCGCCCAATAACTTAAGATTCCTTTGACCCACAGTCTTCATATTTGGCATGGAGGTTAGTCATGATAGGAAGAAGACATTGAAAGGTCAAGGTCACAGTGGCCTTGATTAAAAAAAGTTTGTCCACCCAATTACTTAAGATTCCTTTGACTCACAGTCGTCATATTTGGCATGGGGGTTAGTCATGATTAGTAGATGACCCCTATTGATTTTGAGGTCACCAGGTCAAAGGTCAAGGTCACAGGGGCCTTGATTAAAAAAATACTTGTCCACCCAATTTCTTAAGATTCCTTTGACTCACAGTCTGATATTTGGCATGGGGGTTAGTCATGATTAGTAGATGACCCCTATTGATTTTGAGGTCACCAGGTCAAAGGTCAAGGTCACAGGGGCCTTGACTTCAAAAAGCTTGTCCGCCCAATAACTTAAGATTCCTTTGACCCATAGTCTTCATATTTGGCATTGAGGTTAGTCATGATTAGTAGATGACCCCTATTGACTTTGAGGTCAGCAGGTCAAAGGTCAAGATCACAGGGGCCTTGACTTCAAAAAGCTTGTCCGCCCTATAACTTAAGATTCCTTTGACCCACAGTCTTCATATTTGGCATGGAGACTAGTCATGATTAGTAAATGACCCCTATTGTTTTTGAGGTCACCAGGTCAAAGGTCAAGGTCACAGGGGCCTTGACTTCAAAAAGCTTGTCCGCCCAATAACTTAAGATTCCTTTGACCCACAGTCTTCATATTTGGAATGGAGGTTAGTCATGATTAGTAGATGACCCCTATTGATTTTGAGGTCACCAGGTCAAAGGTCAAGGTCACAGGGACTTTGACTTCAAAAAGTTTATCTGCCCAATAACTTAAGATTCCTTTGACCCACAGTCTTCATATTTGGCATGGATGTTGATCATGATTAGTAGATGACCCCTTTTGATTTTGAGGTCACTGGATCAAAGGTCAAGGTCATTGGGACTTTGACTTCAAAAAGTTTGTCCACCCATTAACTTAAGATTCCTTTGACCCACAGTCTTCATATTTGGCGTGGATGTTGATCATGACTATAAGGTTACCCCTATTGATTTTGAGGTCACTGGGTCAAAGGTCAAGGTCACAGGGGCCTTGACAAAAAAAAGCTTTTCTTCTCAATTGCTAAAGAATGTCCTGTCCGCAATGTATTGATTTTGACATTTTCACATTTGAAGCATGTAGAATACATAACTTAGCAATGCACTGGCTTAGTAACCTCAGATTTGGCAGGGAGGTTGTCCTTGAGCTTTAAATGGCCACTGTTGATTCTGACAAAGTGGTATGCGGTGGTATTCACGCCATGATAGTGGCAGTTCTAGTTTTAGAAGAAAAAAATATGATGCTAGCTTACTGAAGGTTATATTGGTGGTTCTACTCATGTGCTAGTAGTGTCTCAAATTATACACAAAAGGTCTTCCTGAACAAGTAAAGCTGGAATATGGCTACATGTATATGAACATAACAGTGCTGAAGTGGCTTAAAAACAGTTTCAGGAAATAACAATATTGCATGCACAGTATACATGTATAAATGTAGAAGTGATACATAAGTATCATAGTAGTTTGCATGTTAGTTTAAAACCTTACCCTGCTGATTTTTGTGTAATGGACTTTGTCTACTTAGTGCAATAACTGGTCAACTCCTATTAAATTTAGAAGGACTTAATCCATTAATGTACTAAGGTGATGACTTGTCCTGCTTTGAATTTTAGAACAGTCCATTCACTCATTTTAGGGATATCATGATATAAAACTGTAAGTTTGACAGCCATTGGTAAAGAGCCTCGTCACATTGTATTGATTTGCATACTAGTCTGGCTATACTGGTGACAAAGGCTTTGCTGTTTCAACCTTTTAATGATTAATTGATGATTTTATTATTTACTTATTCTGTTATTCACCTTCCAATTGAGTATAGGCTATAAGTTAGAAATCTGAAATGCTTTGAAAACATACTGATTTTCTCGTCACAGAATTATTCAATATTAATAGCACAAGTTCATTTATATTATATACTGATACTGAAACACCTGCCATCAACGAGTTTGTAGGGAAATGACTTCTTTATGTAGAATTTCCAAAAATGACTTTAAAAGAATATAATTCATATTTTATGACATGATAAAAATTCAGGCATACCAAAAATAAGAGAGAAATTAGGTAAGTTAGTAGATATTCATGGTAAATGAGGTTTCTGGTAAACAACTTTAGGATTTTCATGGAAGTATCATTGAATGTATTTAATCCTGAGATATAGCTTAAAACAAAATAATGATTGTTTGCTGTTTATGACCTACGCATCCAAAATTCCTGGCGCTCCATAAAATATTTTGAAAAGAAGAAGTGTTGTTTTTTTCTGCGTCAGTTTCCATGCAAGACTGTTGAAGAGAATCCTTTGGAAAAAAACCAACATTTAACATTCCAGTACATGACAAACATTGAAATACTTAAGACACTGCATGAGTATTAGTTATTTTTCAGAATATTCACATGTGTCTGACCTTAAAAGGATATAAAAAAAAAACAGTTGGCCAAACCAAAAATTCCAGATCTTAAGTGGCAAGCCATATTTTATTAAGAGTTGCTTACCTTACATAGAAAAACCTCATTTACCTATTGGTCAAGGTAATTAAATACATCTCTATTATTTCTTTTATGCAGCTCGGTAATTCACTAAAAGCTTATTAAATAATTTGAACTCAGTGAAGACTGGACTTGTTAATTACTTTCTCAGCTTTTTTCATAGTATCTTGATAAATAATGCTATGAATATAGTTATTACATATTTGGTTAGATATTATCTTATATACTTATTGTATGTAGCTGGAGTAACCTTGACCTCTCTTGTAAAAGGTTATCAGCAGTTTTTTGTGCTTGATAATGTTCAGTTATAAAAATAATGACAAAGTCCATATATTTAAGTGTGTAGCTATTCATATTTTAAAGACAAGAATTTATGGGGTCATGTTCATTGAAATATCAGATTTTATGACCTTGAAACAAAGGTCATTTGTGATGTTGCAACTACCTGGACCTCATAAATTTTTAACTACTGCAGATGAAAGGTGTAGTCCAATTATATTGCATTGAGTAAGTATCATTAAAAAAGTATAATTTTTATGAAATCTGAATCTATGGGGTCAAGGTCATTTTAATATCAGATTTATGACCTTAAAAGAAAGGTCATTGTTACTCCAACTATGTAATGCTTACTCTAGCTAGTTATTAAAGATACTGGATTTAAACACTTCTGGTGCTAAAAATATGTCAGTGTAACATTTATCTTGGTGGATAAACAAACTACTGCATCATGTCTCGTAAGCCTTATAGTACAATTAAATGTATTCCAGGTCTTGCCAATTTAAAAGCACCTACTACTTTCAACCACTTTTCCTTTCTTTTGAGCCTTGTACATTTCTTGATGCAGCAGGAAAAAACTCATTTATCAACTATGATTTATTCTTAGATGTAATAATTGTGTTAGGTTACAAAATTGCAACACAAACACTTTGCGTTTTTGCCATCGTGTTGCAAAACAGGGGTAAACTTCTTTCAGGACAAGCTATGATATTATCATCGTCTGATACCCACGATTGATAAACATGTCACATAACATGCAATCAATATAAATGTTAATGGTTCGGCCGTGGGTATCCGACGATGTGATATTATAGAAGTTAGAATGTAAAGTCATTTAAAAATTCTTTTTAATTGCTACTAATTACATGTATTATTAAATATTCTGTAGCAGCTAGAATTAAAAAGAAAACTTAAACTTAAATAATTGAAATCTAGTAGCTTTCAAAATCATCTAGCCTAGTGTTCACAAAAGATTTAAAATCAGGATCAAGATCAGGATCAAATTTAATACATCCAAAGTTTCTTTTGGTCTATGTTAGTATATTAATATTTTATAAGCTAAAGCTACTTAATCACTTAAGAATTGCATCAAAACATAAAACTTAAAATTAAGTAAAACATTGGTCTAAAAAACCAGATATGCATTCTGTACTTTCTAAGGACCAGCTGAAGTTACATTAGCAAGGTCAGTTGCATTTTCTGTAAGCCAGCATTAGTAGCTGTGATAATGGCATTAAATTGTCACAAGATGAAATTCAAGCACTTTTTTGATGTTTCTTTGTGAACACATGGCCTGAATTCTTATAACATTGCTAAACATTCTGTAGTTATAAAGATGATGATGGATACAAACTATAAGATTTTCATTTTATGTCAAATTTAATTTATATGGTATAGCTTGAAGGTACATACACTTGTGGTATGAACCTCCAAACAGCTTAAAATCCAAATTCATTGACAAATGGGGAATTGATTTTGGGACTGACAAATATACAATTCATTTGGATTTGAAGGGGTTTGGAGCTCCACACCCCAAGCATTTTTGTTGGAAGGTTCTTGTAGAGATCTGTATATTGCATGCTCTGAGAAAGAGTTCAGAAGCCCTGGCTAAGTTAAAATGCTGATTGCTTTAGATATATAGAGAGAAATTGGACGCTACATACAGAGATTTATGCACTGGTAAAGAATTTAGAAGCACTGACAATGTTGATCATTCTTCAGTTTGCCAGTTTATACAGGAAATAGTCATACTGTTTAATGATGGGTTATCTATTAAACAAACAAATTAAAAGGAATTCATGCACCATTGTTTGTGTGCTTGACTTTATGCAGTTACTATTGGGGTTAAATTGAAGTTCCTATATGTATATATATGTGCTGTATTTAACAATGAAGATGTGTTGTCTGTCAACAGGAAGTGACAACAAGGTGCTTCAGGAGCTTGCAGATTGTCGTCAGTATTGTGCTGAAGGTCTGGGTGAAGCAGAAGCTTGTGGTGATATTGAGAAGCAGTCTGAATTCCTGATGCAGGGAGCCAGTCTTAACATTATAGAAGGCAAAAACTTAGAACATACAATCTCACTTCTACAGGTAAGATCAGCTAGATTTTATTTGCATTATTATGCTAAGATGTTGCTTAACATTAGGTTTTGTCAAATTATGAATTGTCATACTTTTAAAAGAAACATTTAAGTGACGATAATTACAATTCAAGCTTCCAAATTTGATTCAAAGGATGAAAGGGTTTTAATTTTTTTAAAGTGTTTAATGCTAATGTTGAATATGTTGTAAGTATATTTCTCATGTGTTCTTATTGATTCAGGATTTTGTATACACTTTGTGTCTGTTTTAGGACTGTATAAGTCCATTATCAGGTATTCTAAGTGCCTTTGTAACTAAAGATAATGATCTCCTATAGGTGTTGTGGTAATTAACATTCTCATATATTTAATGCTTGTGTCAGATCTGTTTATAATATACTGTATTTTATGCCTGTTATAGGACTTACAAACCACTTTTATCTCATTTTGACATGTTCCATACCTGTATCAAATGGGCATATTGTCAGTGTTCAATGTCTGTTTCAGGACTTTATGAACAACTAACATTCTCATAATATTATATTCTATGCCTGTTTCAGGACTGTAAACACTTGCACATGCTCCATGTCTGTTTTAGGACTATAAATATAGCAACTATTAACATATTCTCACATGTTCTATGTCTGTTTTAGAACTCTTTAAACAGATTCTTACACATTCTCACATGTTCCGTGCATGTTTTAAGACTATAATAAACAACTTCTGATACATTATTACATGTTTCATGTATATTCCATGACTGTTACACATCTCATATGTTCCATGCCTGTTTCAGGATTGTAACAATTTCTTATATATTCTCACATATTCTGTGTCTGTTTCAGGACTGTATAAACAGCCTGTCACATGTTCCCTGCCTGTCTATACCTGGTGGTCAACTGAAAGCTACTGCTATAGTGATGAGGACAGATCTAGAGGCTATTGAACACACAGATGATAGTATCATCTTCACCGAGAGAACCATGGAAAACTATCTTCATGCTCAAGATGTCATTCTCAAACAGGTATATCTTATGTTTATTTATTGTCAAGACATGACCATTGATGTTGTGCTGTTGCTGTGTGTACATTCAATAGATATGGTGAAATATTTTTGATATACAAATGCATTCCTTGTGTTTTGTGCTTTCTTTTGAAAGCAAATTTGAAATTAAGGTATACATTTTATTGAGTGAGAAACAAAAATGTTGTAGAATACTGCATTAAGGAACTACCTCTAGTTAAAGACTACATTTTAAAGGCCTGTCACTTACACGTCCAGTTTAAGTTCCACATATGAACATTACATGTACCGGTAAATAATCAAGTTTCATTGTTCTGAAAGATTTTTATTTGAAAAACTAGTCTTAAAGAAAGGCTTTTACAAAACTTACTAAAACAGTTTGAAAAAGAAAAATTGATAACAATTTTTTCTTGTTTTCCTACAGATGGAAGATTTAGGAGAGAAAATAGAGCACTTCTATCCAGAGGGGCGGCTTCAGTATTTCTCCACCCCTCACAGTCCACTTCGAAATATTTATCTTCCTCACTGCCTCAGACTTGTACAAATCAAGCTTCGTGTTGGACATGCTATGGCTAGAAATGTAGCTAAAAATATCAGAAACTCGTAAGTATTGAATGAATTACCCCCCTTTTTCATGATTTTTAGAAAATTACCTCCCTTTTTCTTAACAAGATAATTTAATGTGTCAGAAAATGTATCAAATGAGTGCATTATATATTTGTTTTATCATTTAATTCTAGATATACTTACATTGTGTTTGATATTAGAGTAAATGCACCTATTTTCATGCATTAACACCTGCAGAAGTACTTGGATTCATTTAAACACCGAGTCTACAGGAGTAGGAAATCCTTAAAGTTCTCAGATTTCTGCAGATGTTAAAGCAAAAAAAAGTGTGCATTAGGGTTATTCTTGCATAATGTCTTGCACTGCCTCATTGCAGTCAGCCATCTTTACATGGCACCCTGAGTCATGCTTATTAAAAGATGTCCAACAGTGGCACATGCTAAAGCCTGATTTTCTTCAATTAATGCATGATTGTCTCCTTTGCATTTAATGTATATGAGTGTGCGCAGTTTTTATGCAAGAAATTCTTGTTTGCTGATCCTTTTAGAAAATATCCACTTTAACTTTGTTGGGTTAACTTAAATCCTTACACAACAATGTAATCTTTGATTTAACTGAATCTGTGTAGCTCACCATGATGTATGATTTTATTTCATTTTTAATTTGTTTTATCAATTAATTCTAGATGTATTTAATTGAGTGATGTTAAAGTTAATGCACCTTTCTTCATGCATTAACATCTTCAGAAATCTGTATAGCTCACCATTATGTATGATTTTATTTCATTTCTTTCTTCAATTGATGAATAAAATTTGTGATTAACATTGCAATTAAGGTGTACAGTTAGACCTGTGTAAATTACCATCTTTGAGCTAAGGCCAATTTTCTTTAAGACTACTAACCACATTGAAAATATCAAAATTTTGAACAAAAGACCACCCATTAAAAAGGTAGATTTTGTTTGTTTAAATGGACCTTTCAAACAGATTTGACTTGACATTCCAAGATGGTCCTTTTATACAGGTTTATTTGTAACAGCCATAATTTTTTAAGAACTTGTTCTTACTCAATATGTATTTTTGTTTGAAGAACTATCAAGCGTCAATGGTAAAATTATTTTTTCCTTTTTATTTCCCAGAAACCACTTGTTCACACGTAGATAGATTATTTGTCTTGTCACCCATTTTCTTTTTCAGTATTAGAATTAGATTATGTAGTTTATCTTATTTCCCCGTTTCTTTCTCCTGTTAGAATGTAGTTTTCACCTGTTTTATCAGTTTCACAGTCTTGGCTTAGGAAATCTATATTCAGCTTTTCTTTTCTAAATTTTATATTTTGTTCTTGATACTACATGTATGCTGAGGTCTTCTTCCATTAATAAAGTTGGAAAGTGGCCATATGATAATTACATTGTCAATGTGACTTAAAATCCAACAAAGAAAAATGAAAATAAAAAAGTACATGTATTATATACGGTATGTGATAAGGAAGTTATTGCAGCTAGCTCATATGAAAGTTGTTGGTTCTACTCAGATGCCTGCTTCATATTCCTCAAAATTAATAGTATGCAAAAGGGCGTACCATTAAGTAAATCCTACTTAAATTTATATACCTAGAACTTGTTGCACATGGCATGGGATAAGCTGTAACTTGTGTTTGCATGCATTTATATCTGTCTTTGTTCATGCTTAAATGTTGTTTATCAAGATTTTGTATGCTTATTTTATTCATGCACAAATTCACATACTTGCCAGCATTTCATTTTGTACATCTGCCTTATGTTTTTTTCTTTACTTTTTGCTTGAATCATAATTCATGTTTTCAGAATTATAATTGACAGTCACTATCAATGACTCACATCATGGCATGGATTTTAAGTGAAATATGGCATTTTTGTGAACTTGCAATATTTAAATCTCATAACTATGTTATATATTTTGAATGAAATATTTCCATTTGTTAATTATTACTCCGTGCAGACTATTATTTTACTATCAAGCACTGTGAATAGTCTTATGTGCCCTTCTTTTGACAGTTTTTGTTTCATACATCTTGCTTATTAAAGATTTAGAAAAAATGTGGACTATTTCAGGATACGTTTATCTCTAACCTGCTGGAATTGAATGTTCTCAGCCTTTGCCACCGGTAAAGAGCCAGGCCAATACGCACGTCCATGCAGTTTGACCAGGCTCTATACTGTTGGCTGATTAATTTAAAATTTTAATCTTAATTTTTGTTAAATTGCTTAGTTGGCTTAAGATTATTTTTATGTTAAGTATGACATAAATATTGTATGCATTAACAGCTTTTATTAATATATTTGATATAGTGCTGACTTGGAACCTATACCAATGTGGTCGGATGTTCTTGGAGTTCTTAAAACAGCTCTGGCAATATCTCAGGTCAGTGTAACAAGAGAGGCATACCTTGAAGCAGAGCTCCTTCTCAACATAGGTGAGTATATTGTACATATAACTGAATATTTGTGTTTTGTTTTAGTATTTCCCGATCATTTAACTTCTAAAAGAACTCTTGAAAACAGTTGGTAAATTTGTATCAATACACAAAATTAAAATGAATATGCCATTATTTTATGACACAACTTTTGCTTATCATAAATGGGAAACATGAGTAAAACTGCAGTGTGATCATAATGAATAAGTCTTTGTTTTTGTAATTCATAATTTGATAATAAAACAAGACTACTAAAAGTATTATATTCAGAACAGGATAGTGTACTGTAAAATACTGTTAAAAATGGAATTAATGATGAATAAACTTAAAAATAATTTATTTAACAAGGTTCCTTAAAAGTTTTTTTGTTATTTGATATGATTTCAGGAAAAGTACAACGTATGTTGGTATATTTGGGTAAATATCAACCCAGACATGCTGCCCAGTCTTTAATTGATGCTATCAAGATTTCACACTCCACTGATCACAATCTTGGGTATGTATTAAAACCTTGTTTTATAAACCATAGGATTAGCTCAGTTGGTAGATGATAAGACTATGAATTTGGCAACTCTGCTTTTATTTATGAACGGTGCAGGTCATTTTCATTGTGATTGATCATGAAATCTTTTCTACAGTAATTCACACTGTATGTCTGCTCTGGCATATACAGAAGAAATAACAATGCCTTGCAAAAGGGATAGCAACTGGTACTGGTAAACTGCTTGACAGCCTGCCAGGAAGAATGTGGTGGCAAAATTTTCCTCCTTTGAATTCAAAATGGCTTACTGCCTTGATTCAGAAGGTAACCCACAAAAACCACCACCTTGTTTTAACATGGAGAGCAGAGTTGTCCAGTGCTAACATTGCCTGTTTATCGTGCACTTGGCTCTAAAATTAGACTGACAAAAATCTGGAAACAAAGTGATCCCTTGGAAGCATTAATCACAACAAAATTACAAGAGAATTGCAGACTCTGTTTGATTGAGTCTGTATATAAGGGATACGGAATGCGTGCAACATCCCTCACGGGGCCCCCTAGCACAGGCTTGAGCGGTACTCAATTCTCAAAGTCACACACTCATAATTTTGATACATGTATTTAGAAACATGCATATAAACTGGCAAGAAAAAATCTCAATGTATCAGAAAACTTGATGTGGTCTAAATTCAATTTGATGACACACTGGACCATAAACAAAGTCGTAATATTTGTCTTCGGTATGTTGCTATTGCTGCATTAACCATATTTTCAAATTTACAGCAGACAAACTGTTCAGATAGTAACATATGAATAACAATCTTGTTTTTAATGTTTCAAGTACCAATGGGCCTTTAAAGTTTCTTGAAGAAAACTTAAAACTTGAGTGATATTTTCAGATTGATAAGACAGGCATATCTGGAGATAGCTCTGATATATATGAACAGCAGTGGTATAGCCTCTATGAAGGAAGGTTCATCTATAGATATATACAGTGGTGCTGAAAGTGGCAGTGAGGATACTTCCAGTGAAACATCTAGAACAAAATACTCCAAGGTATGAAAATACAGTCATATATCAACCATACCTGTGCTCTAAATCATCAATAAATAAAGACCAATTATGCTGTGAAATCCTCTTCTTAATGCTTAGTCTTCAGTGTGCAACTGAAAATTCTGTCTTATTATGATCATTTTGTAATTATTTTGAAATGTTCCTATAAAATGATGAATGATTTTGTCCAGATTAAAAGATGAACAAGTCCATTCAAGATGTTAAAAAGCATTATTTTTGATATCTAAGAAATGAGTACCTGACTTACCTTTGTTAAAATATCACCCATCCATAAGAATTACTTTCATCAATGTACCATAATTACATGCAACCTTGAAATTACAATGTACATGTATATGATTTTCTTAACAATAAGCTTAAAAAGACTTTAAAAAGCAGTCAAACAAAATTTATGCTTAGTACAATGTATATGATCATTTATAAAGGTAACAACCTGCATATTATAAACAACTTATTATTTGCATCATGCTGAAAATTAGACATTACAAATATGTCAGTAAATGTAAATGATATGGCTTTGAGAAAATTAAAAGAAACAAACTTTAATTTCAGTCAAAGAAATCGAAAAAGGCAAAGGAGAATATGAACGAACAAGAGAAAGAGCGACACGCAGCTTGGCTAGCTATAAGATGTGCGTCTGCTGTAGCTAACACACAGCGTAACAGGCTACTGCTGATTGGAGACGTTGCCGTGACATCACAGCAACTATCAGAAAAGGCTCAAAAAGAGATGCCAGATTTTGTTGCCCTTGACCTTGTTGGTGGATACGTTCTCGGAGAAAAGAAGAAAGTCTACAAAAGTTTGTCTAATTTATAAACTTTTTGTTAAACAAGTTGCAATAGTGTGAAACAGTAATTATTCTATGTGCCTAAAATATTAGTTTGAAATAAAAATACTATAACTATAAGAATAGTATGATAAAATTAACAGCTTTTGAATAAAGTAAAAGAAGAATGAATCATATTGTCAATATCCCTTAACCTTTTACCCCATGAGCATATTGCGAAAAATGGCCCTTTTTATTGAAAAGTCTCCTGTAACAAGTTCAGACTGCTATGAAACCATGAAAAATGCTTCAATACTGATGAAACTTGGCACAAATGTTGACTAGACCATAGCCTCTGTATCGTAAATTTCCTGTTACCATGGCAACGGAGTTTGGGGGTACGTCTCAAAATTGCCAAAAATCACTATTTTGCGTTGTTTTTTTTCCCATCAAAACTGATTTCAGAGTGCTCAATGAATTGAGATAGAGTAAAAGGCTTTTCAGTGTTGGTTACTAGTTACCCTAAGATCGACCTAAGGCCATTTTTAGCCTGTCACATGTCCAAAATTTTCTTGGCGATGAGGGGACTACCGCCCCTCTTCAAACCCCCCAAACAGAAGAGGGCACATCCCCCTTCTGGCAACCCCCTGATGTAACATTTGGATGGGGGTGGCGACAAAAAAGTGGTCACCTTTTTTAACCAACATTTCTCAAAAAAAAACAGTGTTTAGGGCCTAAATGGGGCATTTTTGAGGCCTCAAGAAGGGGGGATATACATGTATCAGACTGTATTTTCTTATCGCTCTAGTTAGACTACAGATCTGTGATTTTACTGATTTTACTGAGGAGCCTTACGCAAATGTCTGTAATGCCAATAATAAAGCTGGATTGTCACAATATGAACTATGCAGTATTAAGTAAATAAATAATTAATAAATATATTTTATTTACCGAGGGTAACACGATAGTTCAAAAGCTATCTTCTCCAAGGCCTTTGAGTAAACATTTACATGTACATCAGTAATGACAATTACTCAACACAAAATTAAATCAGCCCTTACCAAAATGACTTTAAGTGACTTATATGTTTCTTATATGCAACTTATACTTGACCTATAAGAGAACTATAAATTACATATAAGTCACTTATAAATCACCTAAAAACCTGTCTAAGTCAGTTATAGGTATATGCTACATATAAGTCACTTTTTAGCATCAATTAAAGACTGGGCAGCATGTCTGGGTTGATATTTACCCAAATATACCAACATACGTTGTACTTTTCCTGAAATCATATCAAATAACAGTCCAGTAAAAAAGAAGTTCTCCACATAAAAAAAACTTTTAAGGAACCTTGTTAAATAAATTATTTTTAAGTTTATTTATCATTAATTTCATTTTTAAAAGTATTTTACAGTACACTATCCTGTTCTGAATATAATAGTCTTGTTTTATTATCAAATTATGAATTACAAAAACAAAGACTTATTCATTATGATCACACTGCAGTTTTACTCATGCTGCCCTCAAACTTGCAACACATTGGGAAAACATAGCAAAGAATTTTCAATGCTTTTCATTTATTTATGCTTGTACGAGTGATAAAGTTTCAACATATTTTTCACAATTATCCTTCTCTTATAAGGAATACCTTAACATAAGGTTAAATGCCTTTAATTATATTATATATTGTATTATAGATGAAATAGAAGAAGAGTTAGCTCCCCTGGTAGAGGCTCAGGAAGTTAAACATGTGGACACCTATGATGAGCTGATACAGAAAGCTAAAGAGGCTGCCATTGACCTAAGTTGGATACAATTCCTCGGTATAACTTAAGACATTCATTACTAGATTTTTTTTATTAATTCAAAGAACAAATTTAGTTCACTACTTGCTGCTGTACATGAATTTAGTATTGTCTTTAACATCTTGATATTTAAATACAAAAAATACAAATATTGGTACACATTGTACTTAAATCCACTGCAAGTGCCACTTCTTGAAAGAGCTTGCTAATTTTCATAATTACATTTCATTTCTTGCATTAATAAGGCAAAGAGCATTCAAACCCAATCATAAGAAAAACAAGGAAAAATGACTTTGAGCTGTTCATTTATTTTATTACTAACACTGCAGTGTAAGGAACAGATTATAAAAGCATTTCATAGATTTCTGTAGATTTGAAAGTCTCCTACAATAACTCATGTAATGACATTGTGAGAATGGCTTATAAGATAAAGATTTAAAAAGAAATGTCACAAAAACTTATTGCTGAGATTTGCTTTTAGGATACCAGACAATTCTCCAGCGTTTATGTAGCACATCAACAATATCTGCATCTAGTGGGAAACAAGAGGAAGATGTAAACCAGAATTCTTCTGGTGACCTTGGACCAGATTTTGACCTTGGGTTTATCAGTCATGCGGAAAGTGACACATCTCTCAATCATGATGTAGTGAGGTAATTTAATTTTAGTTTGTTTTTGAAGAAGTAAGAGGAAATATTTTGATCTGTTGGATCCTTGGAATTGAAATTCTTTCCCTTCAACAATGTTGTTGGCTTTGATTCCACTAAGGACTCTTTTCGAAGTAAAAGAATTGGGCACATGCCTTACTGAGTGATTAAGGTAGTTGATTTCAAACCACTTGACATTCACCTCCATGGGTTCGAATCCTGGCAAGGACGTTTAATTCTTTCTTGTCAAGAACCTATCTAGCTAGCTTACAGAATGTTAGCGGTGCTTTTTATGAGCACATTTGAGGCTGAAATAATGGAAAGAGGGACACCCAAGGTCTTCCTCCATCGGTAAAACTAGAAATTTGCCATATAAACAGTAAAGAATTGATGTGATTTAGAAAAATAGAAAGATCAGTGGTTCAACTAAGGTGCAGACTGTGTAGCAATTGATGCTCAAGAGAGCACCTGAGGACTTCCCCTACCAGTAAATTTGTAAAGTCCTTGTTGCATGTTTCTGATGTACATGCATAATGTTGAAAAATATTTGTATAATAACACTGTTTATGTTACATTCTCAGATCCATGTTATTCTCTGGTACATGGACTATTAGATTGAACAGAATGCACAGTTATCTTAGTGAGAACCTTCAAAAGTATGGAACTGACTGCTGTGCTGTGTACCCACCAAATGACCTCCAACTCAGCGTACCAGCCGAGCCAGCCACAGAGCTCCAGATTGTGACAAAGTCATATGAGACAAATTTGACACATCCATCAGACATTGAAGGTGAAACTCAGATCAAGATTGATATAGATATAACCACACCAGGTAAAGCTATAAATAGATACATTGTATATGCAAACTTATAAATAGACTACATGTAGTCAAACCTATAAATAGACTCATATGTTCTTTATAAAAATATTCAAATTTATAAATACAAATTAAATTTTACCTGTTTTTATGAAAAGATATATTTCCTGATTTCTTTTATGAAACTTTTGAGGCTTCACCCATACCCTGCTAAATATCATATATTTCAATCTGGACAAAACCATTCATCGTTTTTAGAGAAAAGATCCACAATAAGTAATGCCTAAATAACAAACAGTGCAGACATGGATGGGTAATTTTAGACTGTGCCTGTAGGCTTAGGGTAAAGTACATGTAAAAATATCTGGTAAAAAGTGATCCCTTGGGTGTATTTAAATCAGCAAAATTACATGAAAATTGCATTTTTAATAAGTAAAACATGCATTTTCACTGAACAAGACATTATACAGTGATGAGATTTAAAGCTACAGATGAGATTAAAATTTATTTGCACAGGTATAGCTCCTCTTCCCCCTGGTAGCTCAAAGGATCCTACAAGACCTTCGGATAAGCCGATAGTATCACCTGCTGAAAATGAGGTCACTTTACAATGGTACCAACCTTCCCTGGAGGAGACCGACCCAGCCAGACCCGAGGCTTCTGGTCCAGAGAGCCGGGTCTTGTTGATGTATGCGTTAAACATGAAGAATGCCAGCTCTGTGAATACTGCCACAAGGATATCCTGGGTGCAAATCTCCCAGCTCAATGATATTCATGACAGGTTTGTGAACATGGACAAACTTACTATGTTAAATATGTTTGTACATGATGCAACATAGACAAACTTATTCCAGTTTTATCATGTTAAATGATGCACAGTTTTATCATGTTAAATGATGCAACATAGACAAAGTTTTGCCAGTTTTATGATAAATTAAGCATATAAATGATATAATGTGTAGAGATTTGGAACATTGAATTCTGAAATTACTCTTTGAGTAATTTGGTAGTAAAATGGTGATAGATATAGTCATCTTCATTCCATTGGGAGAATGGATTGTGAAGTCGTGAATACATTTGTATTTATACATTTCTTGAATTTTGAATACAATTTTTCTAAAACTTGAATTTTGGAACTTTTTTTTTTATTTGGAAACTTGAAGCTTTAAACTAGATGTATTTGTATATGTTCAACCAAAAGAAATTTATTTTACAGACTAGCAGTTCTAATGCAGAGGGCTGAAATCTATCTCCCTACAGATAAATCGAAGAAGAAAGAGCCTGCCACCACGGCACCAACACCCACTCCAAAAGCAAAGAAGAGTTCACAGAGACTAAAAGCACTGTCTCCAAAAGTCAAGAAAGACGAAACTTTAGAAGTAAGATGCTGGTTAAAATGAGTTGTTTCCTTCAAGTACTTTCTCTGAACTTAAGTTTCTTAGAAACTTTTCATGGTCATTTCTGAGCAAAAGTTAAGTGCAGTTAGTTTTAACATTATTTGTGAAGAAATCTTATTTGACCTTCCTGGAACTTACGGATGTCATTACTTAGAAACATAGCCTTTTACAACAATAGGACTCAACCCATAATCCCTGAGTTAAGAGGCAGGCACCTTCTTCAGTTCAGCTGAAGGTTTGAAATCTGAGTCCTAGAACATTTTGATGTCAAAATTATTTTTTTTTTCCAGGTTCCAATTTTACTTCTAAAGCTGAAAACTCACTTTGTTAGCATTTTGGTGATCAGTCAGCTTTTTCACTTGATTACAAATATATATTTTCTTTAAAATTTATTTCAGAATCTGTTACGTCAATGTATTGATGACATCACAAATATCCTCGGGTCAACTGCTGAACCAGACACATCTTCATCTGTAATGGAGGTAGTTTTTTTACTATTTTTAACTTGCTGAATTTCTCACATGTACTCTAACTTCCAGTTTTGAAACTGTCTGTAATAAATTTTGGGGATATCAAAATGAAAAATTTGAAGTTGGTCGAGTTTAGCAAGACTGCAGGAATTTGCAGACTGGCCTGGCTCTATAGTGGTGGCAAAGGCTAAGCAGTTTAAAGTTTAAACACCAGTGCCTATAATATCAGACAGTTTAAGTTCAGTTGAAGCCTGGTCAGCATGTGGAGTAGTGAAGTTGAACTGACCTTATACTGCTGACTGCATAGTTTTAGAATTTCGTTGTTGAAATTCCTAAAAGTAATGATGGACAGTTCATAGGAAAGTCCATTAATAGAATTGAGGGTAGGGGATAGATGGGGCATGATTTTAAACATTTCAGTAATAGCAATGCAACATTTTTTACACATGTCATTAGTAGTATGTTTAAGGAACAATTTCTTGAACAAATTTTTAGATTGGTACCATCTATAGATTAATTTGTTTTGAAAAATATTCAGATATTGCTAATAGTTGAGACAATGAATTGAAATTTTTGTAAGTATTCACCAGTGCATAAATGAATACGTTGAGGTTAAAGACATATGTTTTATATTTTAGGGGTTCCCGTTTGACGTGAACAGACTAAATGTGAGAATGTTGGAGGCCTTATTTGACCCAAGTTTTGGAGCTACAGTCAAAGGCACAGATCTGGTTCAGTGGATTCTTAAGCTATTTCCAATGTAGCTTTGTTTCTTTTGGACATGTTTAACATTAATGTGAACAGATGACTAAACTTTCTTTAGGTGACAATTATACAAACATTTTCAAGTATAAGTATTTTTTTTATAATGAAATTGATTCAAAAAAGAAAGCCAGAAATTTCATGAATATAAATTGCCATGTACCTTGAACACTGCAGTTGTTAATTCATGGTAACTAATGTTTTGTATTTATTGTACTATTTGTTTTAAAAAAAGAAGAAAAATCAGAATAAAAAAAAAACTGTGTTGGACAATGTCTGCAGTGAATAACTATAACAATTTATCAAGGAACAATTTTCTGTGATGTAAAAAAAACATGCAAAGAAACAAAGCAAATGCAAACAGCTAGATTTAGCATCCACGTCATATTCAAATTGGAAGCTAAAATGTGATGTAGCAAAAAGAGAATGGTGATTGTTTTCGTTCTTATTGAAGTTGATTAGTTTATTGATTGAAGATGATTATTTTGTTTCATATGATTTTATTTACTTAAGTTTTTGAAAATTTTATTTGCATAACAATTTTCCATACATATTAGTAATATCGATAACATTCCGTCCAGTAGAATGCATATCCAATTTCTGTGATAACTCGTTTATATTATTTTGTTGAAATAAATTTTATTCAAATTTGCTTTGGACAAAATAAAACATGACAACAATCAGAATGAGTTTTCTTTTATTTAAAATTCTGTTCAACAGATAACATGTAAACAAAAATAAATGAGAATTTATTGACCCTAAAGTTCAGCACTTTCAGCAAAATGTCATAATATGAGCAATTTTATTAATACAATCAAATGTTTGATAAAGTCACCTCTCAATAAATGACCACCTCCCTTTAAGGGCAATTTCTATAAAACAGGCCACTGCTCAATAAATGACTACCCCTCATTGAAAGGCCATTTCCAAAATGCCCACCTCTTGATCAAGAACAGATAAAGCAAACCAGTAGCAGATGACTAACACATTTTTAGGTTCACTGGGTCACTGCCAAATCACAGTGGGTTAACAGTATTCTGTATAATAAACAAAATTACAAAATTCGAGCAAATGAAGAACAGTGCACAATAAATAAATCAACTGTTGGTGTCAGTGGAATGTCAATATGAATAATCATAAAGACATTGTTATACAATGTAATAAATTCTCATCATCAACAAGAAAAAAATATTCGGACAAAAATTACCTATAAAACTGCTCATAAATTGATTATTGTTTAAGTACAGGAACTGGTATTTAATTTCAAAGACAGCCACCTTAAAGATAAGATGTAGTGCTTGTTGTCTGGGTGAATAGAAAAAGTCTAAATAATAGAGAAGATAAAACTTCATTTATACAAAGGTTGCCAAATAACCAAACAGATTATGAAATGGTTGCCAAGTTTTGGGAGTGTCCTTGGAATGCACTCCTGATGAAAAATAAATGGACTCCTATTTTTGTAGTCTTACTAGGCAACAGTGTATGTTGATTATTTTAGCACTTTGAAATCAAAACATCTCGCAGCGGCACTAATATTAAACAATTCAACGTTTAAATCAGTAAAAGTCCATGTAACAAATCTAACAGGGAAAGTATATTGCCTATAACTTAAATTCCAATATGACATTAACATAGATCACAATGAAATGGGATTAATTTAAAACCCTTGTCCTGAAACAATCCATTAAATGTTAGGGTATAAAGCTATATCTTATGAAATATCTTTATAAAAAATGTATCTATAGTAAAATTATAGTGTTCCTATAATCTTGTGGTCAAATCTTGAAATAGTTGTAACATAGAATGTCTTTATTCAGCACATATGATAATAGACATTGTAAATCTAAAACTGTTCTGGCTACAAGTATGGTTTAAACCATTTAGCTGTGATTTCCTTCATGTGCCGTTCACTTTAAAGGCAATATAAAATATACACATACATATACTGTACTACCATATTTCTTTCATACAAGCATTTTGGAAGTTTTCTTTTTTTACAAATCAAACAATATTTATACTTACAATTCAAACAATATATATATATTTTAAGGGAATTCAATATCAAAATACAAAAATTCAGCTTAGTACCAACAGCATTAAGTCTGGTCAGACTGAAAATAAGTGCAAACTGGCCTAGCTCTATATTGATGGCAAAGGCTAATCACTTGATTCCAGCTGCCTTGGGTTAATATTATTTAATTACATAATTTCTAGCTAAACTCTATGGAAATGGTCACTGGTATTGACTGTTATCACAGACAGAGGGCAAGGCTTTTTTATTATGCCAAGTATGCCCAAGTAAATGTACATCAACCAGAAACATAAAAATCTGGCAAAAAATAATCTACATATACGGCATTGAAAATATTTTATAAAAATTTATAGTGGTCCAACTAGTTATTAATAGCAAACCCATCAGCTTTTTACTCCAGGACCATGCTCTCAGAACATGAAAAAAAAAATCCTGATTCGCTGATTTACTACAGCCCCGACATGTTGTGCCCAAAGCAGTGGTAAAAATGCAAAATGCATCTTTTATCGTATACCTCTAAATGTAAACTATATATTAATTATGTTATAAAACCATAATGCCATGGTATTATATCGCCAACACCATTCCAATTTACACTTGTATATTATATCATATATGGAATATCTATCTTCCTGTCAAAATATGTACATGTATTCCATAAGATAATTTATCAAACTTTACTATAAACCTGCATCATAAGCTGTACATAGGACACAAACCTTGTCATGCATAACTTTTAAATATAATAGAAAAATGCTCTGTTGAACACAGCATGTTAGCCATGTAAGGAGAACATTATTCCACAACAATGGGTGTGACAGACATGTGCACTCGAAATAAGTTATTCCACACAATATAACTTCATGAAGGTATGTAAACAACTTTTCATCAATTGGTAGGACAAAGCATCTAGTCTGAGAATTAAAAATGCCAGTTTTATCACTCATGTCAGCTATTGTTTCATCGCTCACATTCACCCCAATAGGTATCACAAATACTGTCTTCATCGCACTGCGACAAATCTCCCCATACCAATGTGTCTGTACCTGAAAAAGTTATCATTATATCAATATCAATTTATTCATACATATATATCGAGTCTTTACAAAGACAATTATATTCACTATAAATTACAATGTATGTAGTTGCATAATCTTGAAAAGCTTCTATTCTAAAGCAGTCTATTAATATCAACTCTATATAATTTATATTCAGTGTTTTTTACTTTAAATTAAAATGGAAATAAATTTATTGTCCCGTTTTAATTGAAAAATTGTATGCCATCTTATAAATGTCAGACGAGGCAAAATATATAAAACATCTTCACTTCTGATGAAATTATGGAACAATAAAATATACTGTAAATAACTGCATACAATATTGAATTTCTTAAAATGAAAATTTATGATCATTTCGTTTTTTTATTGTTTAAGGGGAAACTTTTCCGAAGGGTAAATATACAATGTACTTGTATGAATTAAGCCCAATTTCAGCCTAAAACATTGCAAAAAACATTTAGTGAATATCATAAACTTCAACAAATAGCAACAACACACTATCTGGCAATGGTAGACTTGTATTTTGTTTATTTGTCTTTATGTCTACTTTATAACAAATTACTTTATTAAAAATTCTGTTATCAATTTTTATTAAACATCACAAAACTTGCAGAAGCCAAACTGTGCACATGCATATGTAGTGAATATGATATTAATTATATAATTTCTTAAAGGAAAAATGAAGCATTTAATTTCTTAAAGGAAAAATGAAGCAAACTATTATAACAGTTGTTCTAGAAAACTCTTTGAGTGCTTGGCTATCGAAAGTTTACTGACAGCAGTCAAAATAGTCACTCAATTCCAGTGACAAGTAAAATGTAAAAACTTGTTTACGAATGGTCGTTTCGTTATTTTAACAGTAAAAACTGTTGAAACTTGCCGAAATGGATCTTAAGCAATTTCAGTTCTTACTGAACTTGGTTTATGTTTAATCATACCATGAGTATTAAGTCTTGGACATGGAACAGTGGCACTTCTGTAAAACATCCAGTAATGTCCATTATTCTGAGCTTGAAGACATGGTCTGCAGGGCATTGAAACATGGTAGCCTACAACATTTCCACTGAAAAAAAAAATGAAAGTTTTAATTAATTTGCGTGCATATCATTTATTACCAGTAACATAAAAACTAACTTTTGCAAAATTATACTTCATTTGACATCACTGTATTGTATCGTATACCACTTGTACTTCAAATTTCTGAAAACCACAGATGTATAAATGGACAAAAATTGTTATAACATATAAACAGATTGAAATGAGACGGTTACAAAATGAGTGTTCTTGACATTTAATATAAGTGATACCGTCCAATATAATTAAACATGTGCACCTGAAACACAAATTATCAGTACCTTGTAAAAAGCATGTCAATATTTTACAATATTTCTGCTCACATGTATATAGTTCCCTAATTAACTTGGCGTGAACTACTTTACCCATTTCAGATTTTTTTTCTGCTATTAAAGCTGCATGCCTCCAGATGAGTCAAAAAATTTCAAGAAAAATAAACTTGAGAAAAACGTACTAAGATTTTAAAAACATTAGAAATATTCATGATTCAAGTAATTTTATGTGCTTTAAATGACAGATTTTGCAGAATTCATTACCATATTTCTTCTAGGTTACTAACTGCGTAAGTGCGAATTTTGCATAATTTGACCTCTTTTCGGTAATTTATGTGGATTGTAAGTGTTGTATGCAATGTGTAAGTAACTTTCCTTGTTATCTTCACATTTTACTTTTTAAAGTACGTTTTCAAAATTTTCATGAAAATAAACATTATTCTGGAGGCGTGCTGCTTTAAACCATTATCGTCCATCCAAAATTATCTTGATGCCTCTCTGAGCTAACTATATAGTGTACAAGTTTACCTAAAACTTACCACTGGAGGCACGCCATAACTTGAATATGGCACTTGCATTTATCTGCCTTATACTTCTCATCTGTTAATGCTACACAACTGAAAATAGAAGTTAATATTCCAATAAATCTATGAAATTGTCAGTTTTGCCATGCAATTTTCAAAGTTACATATGCATTAATTTCTGGCTAGTTTATCAACAAATACACCAAATCTAATCTACCATAGACCTCTTATTTAAAATCAAGTGAATAGTGAAGTCTTGCGAATGTACTAAATATATAGATACAAAAGTATCCCGATATTAAATTATATTCAATATGAAGCATTTATTTTAACACTAGCATTTTTTATTGGAAACCTACATGTACATGGTATACTAATTAGTGCATTGCAAACTGTCAACTGAAATTATGTTTATTATTTACTTTTAGCCTGGTGAAAATCTTTTAAAACAATTAAGACCAAAAAATTGATGATTAAATTAATGATTGAATTAACATAATTTTTTTTGTTTGTTTTGATTGGGTTTTACGTCACATCGACACCTGAGTAGAACCATCGACGTTCCGTAAGCTAGCTGGATAGCTTCCTCACATGAAAGAATCCAAAGTCCCTGTCGGGACTCAACCCACAGCGGTGAGGGGCAAGTGGTTTGAAGTCAGCGACCTTAACCACTTGGCCACGGACGCCCCAAATTATCATAATTAATGGAAACATGCCTACATTTGAACCAAATGCAGCTGATTCTGATCAGAGCATAATTTAAGTGTAATTTAGGTAATTAATTGCGTTTCGTACCCTCTGGTTTAATTACAGGTAAACCAGATAGCCCAACAAATTGTGCGCTTTATGGCTTTTTTTATATAGGCATTGGTCGCCCTTCGCAAAGACAGACATCTATGAAATATCAGATTATAAAATCGGTGCGACTTGCAGTCGAAATATTGAGACCAGAGTGTTAGATGAACAGGGCGACCCTGGTTGGATTCCCACTTTCGTTGTGTTTGATCAGGAAATAAAATCTATATAATTCTACGGTCATTCACACGAGACACTGGTTATATAGCCTATCCAGACGAAGGCGGTTCATAGATAAAAAAAGAGTAAAAACTAGATCTACAGTAGCAATTTATCGTCCAACTCACCTTTTATCCACCTCATCTGTTGAATAAAGCTCAATTTGTTCGTCAGCTATAAGAAATGATTTCATTCCTCTATCACAGACATTGTTCATACAATACAAACAGTCCAGAGTGTAAACTTCTTCGTTGCGGAAAGAGGGGTTGATACATTTTTCTGAACTGTCAAACTCAGCCATTTCGTTTCAAACCGAAAGTAGGATCGTACGTCACTTATCTTAAAATAGCAATCTGTGCAGCTTCCAAATTTCTTTCACTCAACTTTTAGTTGGTTGAAATAAGAAATCCTCTTACTCAAAATTAAAGCAAAGTTTAAGAAGTGTTTTCCCGATAATGTCTTTAATGTTTCACTGTAACGTACAAAATACTAACATTGGACGCTGCGTCATGCACGTGCTATAAAGCCAATAACTGAAAATAGATTTGATTGGGTTATAAAATCTTGTTTATTGTTAGCATGTTTTTCATTGGTTAATTTGATTTTGTTGCCCAGCAACAAGTCATAGCATGTTTTATGACCTCTCGTGAACCCGACCGGTTATTTTTGACACAAGTCCCATCATCCTTTAACTGTTTCCGGTTATAGGAAGTACACAAATGTTGACAGGTTATTTAAGTTTTAACATGTAAATGGTTATATTTGTGAAGTAACGAATGTTCGCAGTGATTCAAACATGGGATCAGAAAGGAAATCTAAAAAGGAGAAAGAATTAATGTTAGAGTTTGATAATCATTCTAAAGGTAAGAGTTTAAATTGGATTTTAATTGGCAATTAATATGGTACATAGAGTTATGAAAGTAGGAAATTGAATGATCCTTCAGGTAAAGTTTAAATGCAGTATCACTTGGTTCAAATGATGATTTATTTCACTAATCTGTTAAATTTATGCTTTTGTATACATGTTTTAATTCAGCATTGATACAGAAAGGACACGTACTGTTTGCAAATTTATATTTTATTTGTTAAGCAGTGTTATTGATAATACACAATGTATAATGGTATGTTATTTTTTTACCACTGCAGATTTTGTTTTTTGTGTGTAATATACTTCAATATAAACCGTCTAGAGATGAATTAGAAGGATAAATTAAAGAAAAAAGATATAAGATTATATACTAATTTCTATAAGTTCTAGTAACTGTTAGGTTAATTAGGACTAATCTGTTAGGTTAATTAGCGGTACTAATAGATTGCGAAATGGACTCCATTTCGCGGAATGAACTTTTCGACTACGAAATGAACATTTGTTTCTTAAATTTTTGGTTTAAGTGTACTATTTAATATCATTTTTAATAACGAATAAGTGATATATGACATAAAATTACTATTTAAACAATTTTGTTAATATTTTTTTCATTATTTATGCTTATGGTTTGCCCGTTTGAAAATAATAGTGAAATAATGTCACATAGTTCAGTGTTTTATACATGCTCTTTCAAATAGAAAGATTCTGTTTTATATCACATGTTTAACCTGGGACAAAATATTTTTGTTGTCCCAGATTAAACGTAAGTGAAAAGAAAAGATACCCTTTGTGACATGTCAGTTACACCATAGTTTGTAAAGCAAATGTCCATTCCGTAAGCGAAAACTCCATTTCGTGGCCGAAACTCCATTTCGCAGAGGCCAGACTATTTTCAGAAATATGACTATTAAATAGGAAAATAATAATATAAATTGGTTCAATCTGTAGTTTTATGTCATATGTTAAACATAAATTAGTAAAAATAATATTACTTATCACGGTTAAACAAACAAATATCCATTTCGTAGGCGGTAAGTTCATTTCGCGAAATGGAGTCCATTTCGTATTCTATTACAACCCGGTTAATTAGGACTAATCTCTCAATTGTAGCTAAGAAATTATATTTGGAATCAACCTGTTATTTTACTAGTCTAACTAATTACAGTAACTACTTCAAGTTGAGATATTACACAATTTGATGTATCAGCAATATCTCATTTTTACAAAGAACAAAATTATCTAAAAATCTAGCTAGCTTTGGGCACCAAAATAGTTTGACTATCTATTTCGATCATGCTATAAAAAAATGGCGTCATAATTGTTGATAAAAGAATGGTATATAAGGTGCCAAATAGTTTATAACTTGAAAAAAACATGTGGAATAATATCTGTAAATTATATATCATATAATTTTTTGGGGGGTGTGCACACTATTGTCACACTCAGTGAGTCAAAGAACTTCCCATAAATGTTTAAATTTGAATTCAAGAAGATACCTGCAGGTGAATTCTAAGAAAAAAATATATAGCAAGACATTAAGTGTGCATTTGTGATAAGAACAAATTGATGCCCAGTATATATGATTTATGAATGAAAGCCTATTCAAAACACTGTACAGAAAGCTTTGTAGCTTGTAATATAAGCCACTGTCATTTTAATATTAAATTGTGTATGATCATGTACATACCATACCTGTTGGCAGAGATGATACAATTAATACAGCAGCTGTTGCAAAAAATAATGGCATGATATGAATCTAGATATTAATTTCTGCTATTTATATTGGGACTAAGTTTCCTATTATTTGGTTTGACCTTTTTCTTGAAATTTGATACAACAAAGTGCAATCAGCATTGAATGTTAATAAATATAATAAGATAATAAATAACAGACAAATTATATGAACAATGCTTTGTTTGGTTAAAAGGTGTGTTTTCACTCTTAAATTGTAGTTTCTGAATCTAAATTACTGAAGACATTGTTTGCAATACATGTAGTTGTGATGGGAGATATTTGCCACATTCAGTGAACATTTTCTTAAGGGGGGGGGGGGGGGGGAGTAAATCTTTAGGAAAACAACATAATGGTCTGATGATGTATGGTTTGAGAAATTATTCTTAAAATATTTTCATTTACTTTTTTACCATACGGTGTCTCCCTTTACAAATTACCATTTTCCTAAATAATTTTTTTCTCTGTTTAAATTCTGGAAAGCCCCCATCCCCTTACTCTGCTTATTATTAATCAACTGCAGCAAAGGGGGCTTAACATATTTTCGATGTGATACGGGACTCCTTCTTTTTCTGGCTTTGGAGTTCCTGGACTCCAATTTTGAAAGTCCTAGTGAGAACCCTGAACATATATTTGATGTTTTTTTGTCTAATCTCAACCAATTGTTTGTTAGCAAGGTGCTATTGTCTTCTTTAAAGAATTTCAGTTTGCACCATTAACAGTATTTCATTGGCCAATGAAAAGAGGATTTGATAGGCAGGTGAACTTAAACATGCTTTAAAATTGCCTCTGTTTTTATAAGTCTAAGGCTATTAAAATAATATGGGGCTAAATAATTGCTGCTGAAGCATGAATTATAATTTTTATACAACAATATTTGAAAGTGTTGATAGCTAAAGGGTACATAGATATTGTAGATACAGCATTATCTTTAAATCAAGACATCTATCATTTAAACTACCCCAGTGGTTTACTGGTTATCATGGAATATCACCCCATAATTACCCTGCTAGCCAGTGTATGGCGAGAGGATGTAAACCAGACATTGGTTAATAGGTGAGTTTTAGAAATGGGTTATATACAATATTGTTTTCTCAAAACGCTCATTAACACCTATATGTTGCCAAAACATATTTCTCTGGTATTTCTAGTATTGATGCTAATTCAGTGTCTGCATCTGTTTTTCGAATATGAAGCACAAAACATGAAAGACATGAATATTTATGGGTATGGAGCACCCTGCTGCGTGGATAGTATATAAACTCTGCTGAGATTGATTCAAGTTACTGTTTCTAAATCATCCTTATTTTTTATGCTACTTGTTCACAGTACTTTAATATTGTGTGCCAAATTCATGCAAGGTATAATTATTAGAGGGAAAGTGATTGTATATTCCTAAGTGCAATACAGTCAGATCTGTGCTAAAATATCACATTTTTTATAAGTGAGTTGTTGGTTTATACAGAATTTATTTTAGTTTTGTGTAGGAAGCTATAATCTTAAAGTCACTCTTTTATATCTGTTCCTGGAACCAACCAGTACTGAGCATAGTGTAAAGTTTCTTGCTCAAGGAAACAACAACTTGCTTCTGATGGGGTTTGAACCAATGCAGCTAGCTATTATTAATTTACTTGTCTGACATGTTAACCTTTTGGCCATTCCACCACTTTAATGAATTGTTACTCTGTACATACTTGCAGTCTGACATTAAGTTATCAGAAATAAATGCTTTTAAATTATTTTTATAACTTCACCATGACAAGTGTTTTATTAACTTACAGAAATTTAAATCACTTTATTTCCTAATTTTTAATTTTTCAGTGTAATTTGCAAGATAACTTTAGTATTATATTTATAAATTATAGACTGAAAAAATATCAAACAATTAAAACTTATCAAATAATCTCAAACTCTTATGTATATATGAAAGAAAAAGAATAAAAACAAAATCTTTTTTTCGAAGAGAAAAACATGTAACATAATAACATGAAGTGAAATATTTGTAACAGAATAAGAAAAAAAAGGAAACAGAGAATGTAAATAGCTTTGCATTTGATACATAATGATATGAAAAATATTTTTGTCAAGTTACATGGAGTGCACCTATTATTTCTTCCAGAAATGCTGTATATACAATAAGAAATTATAATATTATATATCCTAAAAAGATAAAGGTCTATATTTATACATACTGTACAGATTTGGTTTATACATAATACAGAATTTATTTTAGTTTGATTGTGTAGGAAGCTATAAGCTTATAGACACACTTTCGAATCCGTTCCTGGAACTAACCAGTACTGAGCAATGAGTGTAAAGTTTCTTCCTCAAGGAAACAATGACTTGCCCCTGACAGGGTTTGAACTCATGCGGATAGCTATCATGAGATTACAAGTATGACGTGTTAACCACTCTGCCATGCTGCCAATCACCAGTACAGATTTAATATATAACACACACACCAGTACAGATTTAATAATTATTTAATAATAAAGTGTTTTCTTGAAAAAAAAGAATGGTGAAAGCTTTCATTTACATGTATATAAATAATCCATTTTAATTAGGATGTAATTTAAAAATCTTAAAAAGGGGAGATCCAGAGCATTCTAAATAAATAGAAAAAAATAGACAGTTGCAAAGTATGTTTTATTGAGCCTGTCCTTAGGACACAAGAAACATCTCTCAGGCCGTCTTGCCACTTGGCTTTAGGCAGAATTCAATGCTCAACACTTAGATTATTTAAATCAACAGGTGAAAAAAAAACCTGAGATGAAGTACAGGGCAACTCTATAGTTTGTGCATAGAATTATGAAATGTATCTTCATATAAAAGTAAGCATATTATATTTGATATTTGAGATTGATTTTACACATGTTTTTAGGAGGCAGATGATGGCATATCCCAGTTCTTTTTATTTATGATGAATACACCTGGTGTAA